ATCCAGGGAATATCCGATTGCCTCTCAGGGGATCAAGAATCGTGATTTGCTTGCTTTTTGAACTGGATGGACTTTTTCTTTTTTCAGCTGGACTATGTCATTCACATGGAAACCTATCACGGTTTCTGAATTTAAAACTTTTTTGGGATTAACCCTCAACATGGGCATTACAAGTATAAATGAATTGATTTCATATTAGTCCACAGACCCGATTGATCATATGCACATGTTTTCTGCTGTTACATATATGACCAACATGGACAAGCAACATACTGGTACATTGCTGGACTTGAGTGGTTATATTGGGATGATGCCTACAGCTACAGATCATCATCTTGATATATTTTTTTTCAGCTGGTCAGCTTTCATGTAAAAACAATCCTAGCCACTAATTAGCCACTGGATTGCTTTTACAAGCGGCGGAAAGGGATTCCTCCGTCCCTCCTGCCCCCTTCCAAGGTTTTCTTGGGCTTTCCCGTCCCACCGGGGAACCCAAAAATGTAGTCAGCAGTTTCGCTGGCTGACAATAGAGCTGAACGGAGACTGGAATTCCTCCAATCATCTCTATGGTCTAAAAGACAGGAAGCTTCAAGCATTTCATCGTTTCCGTTTCGCTGGATATAAACAGCACCATTTTTAAATGAGAAAGCATCTGATCGCACTGATCTTGGTGTGATCAGATGCTTTAAGGGCAGGGGAGAGATCTAGAGTCTAACAGACCCCAGATTTCTCAGAAAAGAATACCTGTCATTGCCTATTGCTATCATAGGGGATATTTACATTCCCTGTGAGAATAAAAGTGATAAAAAAAGTAAAAATGAAGGGTACAGTGTAAAAATAAAAAAACTAAATAATTGCTTAAACCCCCCCCCCCCCAAAAAAAAAACAAATTCAACACAAGAGGCGGACCCATGGCGGTATGTAAACAGAGACTGTACCATGCATGTGAGGTATCACCACGAACGTCAGATCAAGGGCAGTAATTCTAGCACTAGATCTCCTGTGTAAATCTAAAGTGGCGACCTGTAAAGTTTTTAAAGCGTTGCCTATGGATATTACAAATTTACATAGTTTGTCACTGTTGCACAGGCATGTGCAATTTTAAAGCATGCCATATTTGGTATCTATTTGGCGTAACATCATCTTTTATAGTTCATCAAATAAAGGGCAATATATTGTGTTTTTGTGCATTAACATTCAAAAAAGTGTATTTTTCGCAAAAAATTAGTGTTTGAAAAAAAAAAAAAAAAAAAAAAAAAAAAAAAAAAAAAAAAAAAAAAAAAAAAAAAAAATCGCACAAAAATTGTGCGACATAAAAATTTGCAACACCCACCATTGTATTCTCTAGAGCCATTGCTTTAAAAAATATGTATACATATTCACCACGCCTCTTATCAAATTCCTTGGATTGTCTACTTTTCAAAAAGGGATCATTTGGGGGGGGGGGGGGGGGGTTGTTTGAAAGTTATAGCATCTAAAATGCCAGGATAGTACACACAAATCAATATACATGTATTGGGATTTTTTTTTAACCAGAGAACTGTAGCAGAATACATTTTGGCCTAAATTTATGACTGAGTTTATTGGATACTTTTTGTAACAGAAAGTAGAAAATATCTTTTTTTCAAAATTTTCAGTCTTTTTTCGTTCATATTACAAAAAAATGAAAAACCCAGTGGTGATCAAATACGACCAAAATAAAGCTGTATTTGTGTGAAAAAAAGACATACATTTTGTTTGGGTACAGCGATGCAAGACCCCGCAGTTACCAATTGAAATAGCGCAGTGCTGAATACCAAAAAAATGGCCTGGTCAGGAAGGGGGTAAATCTTCCAAAGTGCAAGTGGCAAGCATCTTAACACTGATCTCAGACATGCATGTGGCCAGTTCCCAAGAAATGCCTCTACACAGCTACTTCAACACCTGCAAAATAAGCCTGTGTCAGATCTCCAAAGCATGATGCGAAAGTAGTTAAAAATATTTTCTCTTACTCTATATCTGTGAGCAGATCATGTGAACGCTGATAATCCATTGCTTGGAAGAAACTAACATCTAATTGTGGGCAGCAAACTAAACAGTCTGTATTGGATTTTATAACAAGTGAAACATAGATCATGCAATATAAATGAAGATCTCTGCATTAACCTGATAACTTCTGCTACAACCTCGATACCAGCCAGTGTAAGGAATCATTTTTAACTAAAAGTACTCTGCAGTGTTGCTGGCCACCTTTAGATGAATCCAGAGTTCTAGGGTATAACATTTGAGAGAGATTGCCCCTCTACCCCCTTCATTAACACACACACTTGGCATCTGTGCAACAGGAGCTTTCAAGAAGATATTTGCATAGAAACATCCATGGGAGTCTGTGTCTTGTGCATAGAGTTACACTTACAAAGCAGTGTCTGCAACATTATGGTGAACAGCAGGGCTTGAAATTTCCATTTGCCTGCTCGCCAATGGCAAGTGGAAATTATGGTGAGGGCGAGTGTGTCCCCCAGGACCGTCTTGCTGAGCAGGCTTGGAGCTCAGGCCGGATCTATCATTGGCACTGGGAGCCGTCAGACTGCTCAATAGCTGAGCGCAGTGAAAGCAAAGGAAAGAGTGTGTGCTGTGCTCTCTGCCTCCCCCTAGAGTGCAGTACCCGGATCTGTGAGTGAAAAAAAGAAGTACTACAACTTTTTATGGGGTGTGTGTGTGTCTGCATGTACAATTGTACATGTGTCTGTGTGTATGTACATGTGTGTGCGTGTATGTACATGTGTCTGTGTGTGCATGTACGTACATGTGTGTGCGTGTGTATTTCTGTGTATGTACATGTATCTGTGTGTATGCGTGTCTGTATGTGCCTGTGTGTATACATGTGTCTGTGTGTGTGTGTGTGTGTGTGTACGTACATGTTTCTGTGTGTGTATGTACATATCTGTGTGTGTGTACAGGTGTCTCTGTTTGTGTGTTTGTTGGTGGCGAGTAACTCTAAGGCCTGGCTAGTAGCTCAGGACTTGAATTTTAAGCTCAGGTGTACAGTATCCCAAGAGTAATGTAGTTTTGCAACTTCAGTACAAGTTCACTACTCCGCGTTACACAAATTATTCATAAATTGGCCAGCTGAAACAGTGTCTTAAACATGCAGAACCACATGCCTGTGCAAACAAAGCCTTTCACCATGTGTTCTATAGTAGGTAAAGATGCTACAACTCCACATCTTGTCTGTCTCACACAGTTTATTTATACATAAGTAATAAACAAATTTCAACAATATGTACAGTGATTTAAAGTTTAGGAGACCCCATGTTCAATGCATAATTTACACCACATTATCAGATGGGAGGGTGACATAGAAAGACTGGCCCATTTTACCTGTTTGCCTAGGACAGTCAATTAGGATACCAGAGGAAGTTAGCATTAACATTCTCACATCTTACTCCTTTAATCTACTTCTTGGAGTTGGACAGTGTGTGATATAGGGCACGCACACATACATGCACACACACGCGCACATACATACACACACACACATTATTTAAAGGTGAAACTCCATAGATTTTTTTTTTATATAGGATGAGGCTATAATGGAGAAGAGTTTTAATCCTCTGTCAGAATTTTCTTTCTATGTACCCATCAAAGAGCTCTCCCTTCAATTCATTTTCCAGAGACATCACAGGAAGTGTAAAGGTTATCTCCCCAATATGAGGAGAAATTCTACTTGATTATTATAGAACAGGTTTTACACATGTGCCTCTGGTTTCCCCACTACTCCCTGTTCAACTGACAATGCTCAACAATGACAAACACTGAGATTGGACCTCTTCATACCAGGGACACAGACAGCAATGAATACCTGACAGAGCTTTTAATTCTTCCTTACGCTATCCAAAAATGGGGCAAATAAAAGAAAAAAAAAAAAAAAGAAAAAAAAACAACTTTGGCCGGAGTTGAACTTTAAAGCATTTAGCCCATCTGAAAGATGTGGACATAATACCAATAAAAACTGCATAAATAAGCAAAGCATTTTATGGGGTTCTTTAGTAGGATGTGCAAGGCCAAAGTGTGAATGAACATTCCTAATAAGCCTTGTACCTGCCAAGATTGTAGTCTTCAGATTTAAACAGCATTTAAACATCCCCTGAGGATTCTACTTGCAGCACAGCTCTCTCTCATCACATTCCAATAACAAGAAATTAAACTGTTGCTTGCCCAATGTAAGGACAAACATTATCACCAAGAAAAAGAAAAAAAAAAAAAAAAAAAACATGTTCCTGCAGTGGCTCATGAACACTTTAAAGGTTGCCTGAAAAAAAAAAATATATATAACAGTTTTTGGCTTCTTTCACTATATATACACACAGGAAGAGAAAAAAAGGATATATGTGTAGCATGGCCACAGCACATGAAAAGATGGTGAATGTAGCAATATTTAGTGGGTGATGAAAATATTTACCGTAACAATGACTAAATACAAAAGCCAACATGTTGAGACAAAACATGGATAAAGACTGGACTACACAAAGGCATCAAACCTCAAATAAAAACGACATTTTTAATAAAAAAAAAACAAAAAAACAAAAACCGTAAAACAACAACAAAAAAAAAAAAAAAACAGATGAAGTCATCTGAAATAATGGGAAATGCACTGTGTATCCTTAGCAGAGGGAAAAAAGGTCATGAGGCTGGCCCAGCCACTGAAAAATATATTCTCTTTGCAATATTTATAATAACAAAAACATGAATATTAATATATGTCCCTCCCCACACTCTGCAGGTCTTTATACATCAGAGTCTTTCAATAATACAAAAAATTATATATATTTTATATATATATTCTAAAAAAATATTTACAAATCCTACATTACCACTCACCCTTCCAAATTCCCAGTACTGAAACAGCTGTTCTTTAGTATAAAAAGTCAGTATGAGAAGAAAATAATTTTTTTTCTAGATTTATTATAGTCTTTTGTCCAAGTAAAGAAGAATTATATTTGACTACATTTTTATTGTTCTTAGTGGATGTCTAGTGTACTCTGTGAAAGGCTGGAATTAAGGTCCGGGTTATCTGTACTTAAACCCAAGTCAGATATGCCCCCTCCATGAAGACCAGATAACTGCGATAACATGGTTGTGCGATCTGGGCTCCCATAATGCCCTTGATCCACAGGGTTCCCCTGCCCAACTACAATGCTTGTATGAGGAGAGTTTGCCTGTGGAGAAACATTGTGGGGAGAGGGTTGGGGTTGCATACGAGGTGATGGACTAGAGTGAGGCGGCTGGGATCGAGGAGAGGAGACTGGCTGAGGAGAACGTACTTGATTGCTTAATGAAGGTGGGAGCTGCTGGCCCTGTAAATGGGGAGACTGGGCTGGACCTGGCAACATATGTTGCTGTGGACTCATGAGGTTCTGTTGTGCTGGAGATCCTACTTGTTGGTGCAAAATTCGCTGATTAAAAGTCTGCAAGCCGCTGCTCGTTTCACTTAGCATTCCCTGTGGTAACTGGCTTATCTGTCCAATACTACCTTGTTGCATTTGCATATGATGTTGTATGCGCTGCTGTGGTGCATACCCACTCATGACCTGGTGTTGCTGAAACTGGTTGTGATTTATCATCCCAGCACCAGATCCCTGTTGTTGCTGCATCATTTGCTGTCGTCTGATCAGAAGCTCACGAAACTGCGGTGATATTCCAGCATGATTCATATTAATTGGTTGGCCCTGTGAATTCAACCCTGCTATGGCCTGTTGAGATGATGGAGGCTGAAGAGTCTGTGGCTGAGGAGCCTGAGGCTGCTGTGGCATAGATGTCCGTTGTCCTACTGCCTGCATGGGGTTCACACTTTGCATGTTTGCATTGGGGTGCATGACATGGGGTAGATTTCCTTGGGAGGGCATCCCAGGCATATTGCCAGCACTCTGCAGGCCCTGGCTGCTGGCATATTTTGCTGCTCTTTGTTTTATAAAGGCAGCTAATAGCTGTGGATTTGAGTGCAGTATATTTAGTACCTGTTGCTGCTGCATTGGGGAACTAGGGGACCGCAAAGTACGGAGAACTGCAGCTTGTGGCAAGGAACCTTGTTTTCCCTGGCTTGCTGCAGGAATCTGTCCCATACCACCCTGCAGAGTAATGTTCATTTGCTGTCCTTGCTGTACAGGCATTACAGGTGGTCTCTGCATGTTATGCTGCATGACTTGAGATCTACTCTGTACCCTTGGTAGTTGAGGGGGTAATGAAGGCTGGTGTGGCTGTGCCATTCCTGTAGGTCTCATTCCAGAATCCATGAGCATTGGTCCTCGTATTCCTTGTGTGCTTATCCCTGTTGACTGCATGGCATTCATGGGTTGCATTTGGTGAGCGTTTGACATTGGGGGTGGGAAAAGTTGAGATTTTGCCATTTGTCTTTGAGTTTCCGCTGCCCTTTGAATCTGCATGGCCATCTCCACAGCAGCTGGGGGTGGACCAGAAGGTTGCACTGATCCTGCTTGGGGTGTCGGTGGCGTTACTTGTGCAGTTGGATTGCCCTGTGACATACAGCTGGAGGAATGAGCATGTTGCATACCATAAGGTGGTATGTTATTACACGGAAGTTGTTGAGGCTGAGATTGTGATTGAGGAGTATGTGATATGGGGGGCTGCTGTCCAGTTGGTGTTGTTGGACCAGTTGAATTTGGGGAAGGAAGACTTTGCTGAACACCTACTACCCCTGTTCTTTGCATGCTAGCCATACGTCTGCGCAACATTTGTGCCTGTTGAAGCCTGTGCTGCAGTTGCTGCTGCCGAAGCTTATGTTTTATATTGAGGCAGAAGGGTACTGGACATTTGTTCTCCTGGCAGTGTTTAGCATGGTAGCAACAAAGTGCTATAAGTTGCTTGCATATTGGGCATCCTCCATTTGTCTTGCGTTTACAGCCCTTTGTATGCTGTACCACTCTCTTCATCTTCTGACATGATGGCAGGGAGCAATTTGCATTGCGACACTGGCAAGCATGAACCAGGGACTGGATACAGCGTTGAATACTTAGCCTACGGGAATCTCCAGGGCTTTGTGTTGCTGCTGCTTGCTGATTGCTATTCTCATCATCCAAGCCAAGACCAAGTTTTTCCATTTTGTGTTCATGGGTCTTGGTACTATAGCACGTGATGCACAAATCATAATCCTGAATAAAAAAAGAGAAAGTTGTGCATTAGAACATTAAACAAGTCTCAATACCGAAACTATATTTACATTTAGAAAATACAATAATTATACCAAGACTCTGATGTATATGATTGATTTCAATTGCATTACGATTAATCACATTGATACTTGGAAGGTTAAACTAAATTATGGATATATTTACCTCACATACTGTACAGTGCCATCGTGTCTCTACATGGTGTTTGCACTCATTACAAGTGTAGACAAATCGGTCCTGGCCTTGGGTGTGAAGTTCCACTAGCATGCACATAGTAGACCATTTGGCTCTACGCATTGAGGAGAATTCCAAGTGTTTGTCCCTTGCAAGAGTTAGAAAGGCATCACGTCCATCCATTAGGTCACATGGAATTAACGGATCTGGTTCTATGACAGGGGGCAGGGAGTTGGCAGCAGGCCCAGCAATTAATCGGATAACAAAAAAGACCTGAAAATAAGAAAGCATTTTTAGAGTGTTAAGAATCTATATAGCCTTACGGTACATGTAAATTCTATTTGTATATAATTGTTTATTTAGAATGTCCAAGAAAAAGAGAACAGTCAGGTATGCACAAGGAGCTACAGAACAATACAGGTCCACATTGCACAAATAAGAAATGCTGACATAGAACTCTTAGGTAACATTGACAATCAAATGTACAGGGGTTAGACAAAAAATGGATTGCCGTATTAATAGCAGAGCATGCAGTGAATGACGAAAGTGAGGCTTCCCACTTGTTAGCTAGGTGTCTCATCACACAGTGGATGCAAAAGAATGTTCAATTCTGTTTTCAAAGCAAAACATGTTGTCACTTTCACACCAGCAAATCATGTAGTGTTTCCATTTTTCTGTCTAACCCCTCTATGACAGACCATTTAACCATGTAAGGCGAATGTTGCAGATCTAGATAGTACAAATAAGCCTAGTCAGAGCACCTAAACTAATTTACTGACAACGTTTTCACCCTGTATCAAACTATTGTCTGTTCTACCTGTTTACATCTGTTGCATATCAATGCTGTTGGACTCCTACAGTCTATTTACAGCCATTTCCTATTTACATGCATGTACTCAAGCGACTGCTCCTCATCCTTTCTCAGGATAAAATTCTTTATGGGGACAAGAGTGGAACATATATTTGCAATATGTGATGACATTGCTGTAGTCTCTACTGGGAAAGCATGTCACAGGGTCTCAATGCAAGAAAACAAATTATGTGAAGGGACAATGTTTTGTCGCCCGAAAAAAAAGGAAGCATCTGATCCAGAACCTACATGGCAGAAAAACCAGGAATTAAAGTTGCAGATTTAAAAGTATTTAAAAACAACACTTGAAAATACTTAAAAGTTATAACCAAAGTGATTTTTTAAACTAATCAAAATTACCAACTACATTATCTAATTTCACACTGTCTCTGAGCTACAACTTTTGAAAAATTCAACTCCATTGTTATATTTTCTTATAGACTACATTATAAACCACTCACCTCTTTGTGTTTTTCCATTGTGGCATAAAGCTTTTGTGACAAGTCATTGGAAACATTAGGCATACCAGGTTTCTTCTTGTTCCCTCTGCTCAGACTGCTTTTGTTTTTACTGGTCTTTTTGTTGTTTTTTTTCTTTGCATTCTTGCTATCACCTTTTCCAACCTGCCAAGCATAGAATATTGGGGAGCAGACAAGAAAGATATTTTAGAAAAAGTTAAGGCAAAAAATAGAATTTGTAATCATTTCAATCCTGCCAAACCAACTACTTTAGTTTTTATAAACTGGAAAAATGCCAAAAAAAGAAAAGAAATTGGACACTGGTACTTTTAAGCTATATTCGTGTGAGCAAATGACAGCAACAGGAGTCTTGATCTTTGTAGCTGTTTTTGCCACCTTTGTGTGGCTAGCTGTCGTCACTGAGTCCTGAACATTTCAATGACAGGTCACTAGAACCTGCAGCTATTCGTGGCTGTTCACACAGCCGCCGATTACCTGCAATGACTGCTGCAGAACACATGCAATGAGCAATTACATACGAGTGGCTGCGGTTAGCTGCGAGAGCCAGCAGCCTCCCATTGCTTTCATAGGGGCTGCCTCCTGCAGCTAATTTATACCCCACTACTCAAATGCTATTCATTGCTGCTGCAGCATACTGAGAGTTGAGTTCTATCTGTAGGAAAATTAAAGTATATATGTAAACCCTCATCTTCTAAAACAACCCATTCAGTTTAAAATAGAAATGAATGAAAACATATTTCTGTAGATATAAAAAGAGTTAATGGAGGAGAAACAGTGAAAGGCTGTGCAGGGGGAGGAGAAACAGTGAAAGGCTGTGCAGGGGGAAAGAGCTGAAAGTGCAGAGGGAGGAGAAACAGTGAAAGGCTGTGCAGGGGGGGGGGGGGGGCGCCTTGCGTGTCAGAACAAGATTGATCATTAGAGAAGAGCAAGCAGAGTTCCCAGTATAGCTAGAGAATGGACCACGGTGTGTTCTCCTGCCTAGTGTGGTTTTTCATTTAGGAAAACAGAGGGACTGACAGGAACACCAGGTATTTCACAAAAAGGAAGCAATACAAAGAGAACAGGATATTTTTTCATACAATTACATGGTACAGCAGGCACATATTAGGAATATGAAATGTTGGGTTTGCATGTTCTTTAACATGTGTGAGGGCAGGCCATACCATCTTTGCAAGGGCACTAGATGGTCATTTTTAGTAAACAAATCTTTGTGTGGAAGGGAGGAAGATAAGTAAGTAGTGGTTCGTGCTAGCTTTGCCTAATTTGATTTTCCCAGAGGAGAGGGCTATTGATTTGCATATATGTTTAATACCTGTGAAATCCCCAGATGAGTGCCAGAACCATAACAGCTTAAGACTTTATCTGCAGGGCATAACATAGCTGTCTTTCGGCGAGATTATACAGCAAGAAGAATGTTGCAAAAGAAGCTCACTTGAAAAACCTTTCCGATTCACCTACCACTAACCCTTTTTTTGCAAGCTGTGTCACACCTGCTACTTTTCCTCCTCCTCACATTATTCAGATTTATTTCTGATCCTCCACATACTAAAGTATTTTCCAGGTGCTAGCCATAATGTCAACAACCATGCTGTCATCATTGAAGCCCCAATCTGATTCACTTTAACTACACTTGCCCTCCTGAGGATTTACCCCCTTCCTGACCAGGCCATTTTTTGCGTTACGGCGCTCCGTTACTTTAACTGACAATTGCGCGGTCATGCAATGCTGCACCTAAATTAAATGTATGTCCTTTTTATCCCCACACGAATTGAGCTTTCTTTCGGTGGTATTTGATCGCCTGTGTGTTTTCTATTTTTTGCACTATAATTAAAAAAGACTGACAATTTTGAGAAAAAAAAAATATATATATATTTTGCTATTAAACATGTCCAGTAAAAATTTTTAAAAAATCAAATTTCGTCATAAATTTACACCAAAATGTATTCTGCTACATGTCTTTGCTAAAAAAAAATCCCATACGTGTAAATTAATTGGTTTACGTGAAAGTTATAGCGTTTACAAATGGCGGTATATATACTGGAATTTTTTCAGCGACTTATAGCGGGACTGCAGTGGACATTCTGACACTGGGGGGAACTGACCTGGTGTCACCAATACAGTGATCAGTGCTAGAAAGAAAGAAAAAAAAAAAAAAAAGCACCGACACCACTAATGGCACTGGGCAGGAAGGGGTTAACACAAGGAACGATCAAAGGGTTAACTGTGTGCTGGGAGTGTTTTACTAAGGGGCTGTGTCAGTGTGCTTCACTGTAATCACACTGCTCTGGATGGCTGTGCACAGCTATCCAGAGCAGTGTGCCTGAGCTGACAGGGAGAAGGACTGTTAGTAAACAAAACAGGCTTCCTCTCCGTCGGAGATCTTCAGAAATCACTGGCCGGGACCCGGTGATTGACAGCCGCAGCTGTGAATATACACACATACATACACACGTGATTTTACGCACCTGTGCCACCCTGTAGCAGTATTTCTGTTTATAGGGCAGACGGGAAGCAGTTAACAAGGTCCTATGCCTCTCCAGTTTGACTGTCTCCTTCAATGGAACACAAGGAGTGGTTGGTGTACTAAAATGTGACAGCCTTTCAGGGAACTAACTACTACTACTTCATTCAACTGGACCTGTTTGGTTGTGTTAAAGATGTTTTATAGCTTATCCAAACACCTTTAGTTGGGTGCCAGAAACATTTATACACAGAACAGTCATAATCCAATCACCATGGATTGTGTCTTTGTAGAATTTGATTGTCCAAAAACATAATGGGAGGTGTGAACGTTGTGCCACCCTGCTTTAGTGACATAATGCAATCTTTTGGTGTTAGAAAGTCTGCATAGGTGGTAATCCTTCAATTTACATGGCTGAATAGTGTGATTTCCTTACAAACTATCAGTGTAAAGAACACTGAACTGCATTTTATGAGAAAAACAGATTGTGTTGAAGGCCACACCCTTATTTGAGGAGTGTTGCATCAGTCTGATGTAGATGACCTCTTTCACACAAAGTTGATCATTTTTGTCTCTGAAGGAATTTTCCTTTATGTGTACTTCCACAAATGCAGCCAAATTTGGATTGTACCCACCTAATATTTGTTACATGTTCTCATTCACATAGCAGAACTTAAAAAAAAATCGCAGCTTACTTTATATGCTCCTTTCTGGAAACTCCAACACTGAAAAATCCTACGTTCTCTTTAAGAGAACCAGGGGAAATGTGTGTGTGCCATAATTAACCCTATTATGTACTGTTCTAGCAGATCTCTTCAGTTCTAAACTATATTTGAACACAGCTGGACTTCTTCCCCACTGAAAGTTAATTAAAGGAAACTAAGCCTAAGGACAGACTGACACTGTACTTGTTATGCTGAGTGCTGTGTCAATGGGAACACAAACCTATAAGGATTGATTTACTAAAACTGGAGAGTGCAGCTGTGCATGGTAGCTAATCATCTCCTAATGTCAGCTTGTTTAATTAAGGTGTGACAAAAAAAAAAACAAAACAAAACTGGAAGTGGATTGGTTTCTATGCAGAGCTGTACCAGATTTCACACTCTCCACTTCTGGTAAATCAACCCCATAGTGTTTTTATTGTCTCAAATTTGACTGGAAATGTGCAAATACACTTGGAGGCTTGACCTGTATAGAATTGGTCCAATGCAAGGCCATTTGTTTGACAGGTTGTTTGGCTCCCCGATATATAGGTTATTGCATTCCTTACTACACTGTGTATACAAAGTTACTCTGCTTGGATATACAAGCTCCTGTCTTCAGGGTATTGCTGGTCTTGAATGACACATGCCATGTTTGTTAAATATCCTTGACACTTCAGCTACATACGGAATAGACTATATTGCTCCATGTGTTTTGCTGATTCTTGTATGTTCTATGTTTCCATGCTTTTACTTGACCTTGTGTATGTTTTAATTAAAGTCCAGTCTGGGTAGCCACAAATTTTCATAGCACTCCTGAGATGTCTATGGTCTTTGGACATGGTTTGTAGATACCATCTGTTGTAGAGTTTCTATAACCCCCAGTTTGTGTGTTCCAGTGCATGGTGAGATTTAAAAAGAAGATTTGAAAACAAAAAAAGAAGAGGACATTAGACATACTCTTCGTGTATTTTGGTAACTTTGAACTGGTAAATAAGAAAATTATTGCACACACAAAAGGTTCCTTGAAAGATAAGCCCATCATGGTTTCCATAGGAAACATCTAGAGATTTATCATCAGGGATATTCTCAGGACTACTCTACTCTAGAATAAGGTACATGAAAGCTGCAATTATGAGGAAAAAAAAGGTTATCCATTCTTCGGAGAACTGGAAAAAGTGCAGATTTAACCCCCAAAGGGAAAATCCTTAAACGCCTGATGCCTAAGCATGAAGGAGATCAATTATGAGGAAAGATTTGGTTAAAAAGGAACTGAATTCCAAAAATAGTAAAAAAAATCCATTCTTGAAACCCAAAATAAAAAAAGGCAACCCTTTAAGTGGGGATATGATCACCATGACACTGATACATAAGTGGTCCACAATTGTGAACCTAAGTGTAGAGGGGGCATTCTTATGTCCAAGGGAAACGACTTTAACCCCCACAAGCAGTCCCGGGTCCCGAAAAATCTTATTCACAGTAAAAATAGGTACGAAAATGTGGAACAGACTCCCTTAAGAACTGGTTCTGGCCAGCTCAGTAGATTGTTTTAAAGGACACAACCTCTTCCTCAGAGCCACAAGGAGGAGGTTAAATTATTTTAAACGATAATGCACTAGGTCGGTGCGCCCTTTTTCTGTTTCTCCATTTATACAAAAAATAACTACCATTCTGTATATTCACTTGCAGTATTCAGATGAACATCTTGCTCTAAATATAAGCTTTTTCATACATACAAATGGTTGCAATGTAATGTTTGGTTCCAAAGTACAAGAAAAACAAAAACATCATGATACACATGTAGTTTAAATACCAAGGCACCCACGCATTCCTACATATTCCTACGCATTCCTACATTCAACATACATGAATTTCTAGGTTTCTGAGACTGATTTTTTAGCAGTACAAAAACCCATAATAAACTAAATTAAACAGACATACAGGTCTTTGCAAGAAAACAACTATATGGTAAACTATCTGGAACTGGGCCCTACTAATCTCCCAAACACTATTTTTAAAACACAAAGTAAAATAAGAGAGGCCAGTGGGCTATCAGTAGCTTAACCGCTTCCCGTCAGCCCTATAGCAGAAATACTGCTACAGGGCGGTACACGGGTGCGCAAAATCAAGTATAAATATACAACTGATTTTGTATATCTGGGTAGGGGGGCGCGCACGCGCCCTACCCGCGCGCGCCATTCGTGGCTGTCGGGTCCCGGCCGGTGATTTCTCGCCGGCACCCGGTGATTGCTGAGGATTTCAGAAGGGCAGGAGTACTGTTTGTAAACAAAACAGTTCTCCTCCCTGCCAGTTCGTGCACACTACTTTCCATGGCTGTGCATAGCACAGCCATGCAAAGCAGTGTGCTTACAGTGAAGCAAAAACACATGGCCCCATAGTAAAACACACCCAGCACAGTTAAATCTTTGATCGCCCCTTATGTTAACCCCTTCCTGCCCAGTGCCATTAGTACAGTGTCAGTGTTTTTTTTTTAGCACTGATCACTGTATTGGTGTCACAGGGGATGTCAGTGACACCAAGTCAGTTTCACCCAGTGTCAGAATGCCTGCAGCAGTCCCGCTATAAGTCGCCATATCCCCCAAATAACAAAAAAAATACAACTTCAAAAAACTCGCCATGCCTCTTATGAGATACGTCGGACTGTCTACTTTACAAAAAGTGGTCATTTGGGATATCTGAACTGGTCTGACATTCTTGGACCTCAAGAAATTAGATTGGCTGTCAGTACTTCAGGATTGATCAATTTTCAGATATATACCATAGTTTGTGAACTCTATAACTTTCCTACAAACTAAATAATACATCCTAATTTGGGTTATTTTCACCAAACAAATGTAGCAGAATACATCTTGGCCTAAATTTATGAAGAACAATTATTTATTTGCAAACCTTCATAACAGAAACAAAGAAAAACGTGTTTTTTTCCCCCAAACTTTTTGGTCTTTTTTTTGTTAATTTAGCGAGAAATAAAAACCCCAGTGGTGATTAAATACCACCAAAAGAAAGCTCTAGCTGTGTGAAGAAAATGATAAAATTTTAGTTTGGGTACAATGTTGTATGACCGTGAAATTGTCAAAGTGTGAGAGTGCTGAAACCTGAAAAATGGCCTGGGCAGGAAGGGGGTATAAAAGTGCCCTGTATGGAAGCGGTTAAGATGAGTATTCCTGAGAACAACCCTGATGCCAAATCCCTTCATGCTTTTCTTTCTATGGCAACCATAGTAGACTTCTCTTTCAAGAAAGCATTGTAAGTGCAATAGCTTTCCTATTTTCAATTTCCAAGTTACATAAGCTTAATACACCAAGGGTGTACCAAATATCCTCTCCTTTCTTGTTTTCAAGGCTCTCTTCTCTACCTTCCTCATGTACAGGTTAGATACTGGACACCACATAGAACAATCATGTTTCTATCTGTATAAGTTATCTCTTTGCCTTCAACACCACCCATCTTACACACAAAATGCTGTTTTGACATCCCTCAGCAATCTGACAATAATTCCAACTTTCAGCCATGCAAATTGAGAGAATAACACACATGCAGACTTTCTTACACCAAAGGAATGGGCTAGAACTAGAACAGGGTGGTTGCCCCACTTTCATACCTCCTCATTCTGTTCTTTGACAATCAACTTCTGCACTGACACATCCCATGGTGAATGGATTATGGTGACTATGTGACAAAAGTATGCTCAGATCCCACTGCTGCTACCAGAATGTAACAATTGAACTCTCGCCTTGTGCAGAGATTTGCCAGTTGTGGGGGGACAAAATAAGTGCCAGAGTAATTCTCACTTGGGTCAGTTAACTCCACAGTCAAAGCTGAACTCCAGCAATGGTTTTTATTGCATAGGTTATATTAGTCCAGCTTGGACCAACTTTACTATACATTATTCCTGATCTCTGCAATCACTGTGGAAGCAGAAACATATTCCTGACCTCTGGAACCACTGTGGAAGCAAAAACATATTCCTGACCTCTGGAACCACTGTGGAAGCAGAAACATATTCCTGACCTCTGGAACCACTGTGGAAGCAGAAACATATTCCTGACCTCTGGAACCACTGTAGAAGCAGAAACATATTCCTGACCTCTGGAACCACTGTGGAAGCAGAAACATATTCCTGACCTCTGGAACCACTGTGGAAGCAGAAACATATTCCTGACCTCTGGAACCACTGTGGAAGCAGAAACATATTCCTGACCTCTGGAACCACTGTGGAAGCAGAAACATATTCCTGACCTCTGGAACCACTGTGGAAGCAGAAACATATTCCTGACCTCTGGAACCACTGTGGAAGCAAAAACATATTCCTGACCTCTGGAACCACTGTGGAAGCAGAAACATATTCCTGACCTCTGGAACCACTGTGGAAGCAGAAACATATTCCTGACCTCTGGAACCACTGTGGAAGCAGAAACATATTCCTGACCTCTGGAAACCACTGTGGAAGCAGAAACATATTCCTGACCTCTGGAATCACTGTGGAAGCAGAAACATATTCCTGACCTCTGGAATCACTGTGGAAGCAGAAACATATTTCCTGACCTCTGGAATCACTGTAGAAGCAGAAACATCAGTGTAATAGTCGGCACAACTATGATTGCCACAGTTTTCTGGGTCCTGTGCCCAGCAGCTACTATTCTGCATAGTGAATACAGGGGGGGGGGTTGGTTTGCTCAGCTTCCTCAAAATAACTGGACCACCACAGTCCCCTTCTGCCAACTTGGGACTGACATGGTGGGTGGCACTGGAGGGCCAACAAACAGCCATTTGATGATTCTCTCTCAGGTGAATGAACCATGAAGCAATGTGTATTATGCCAAGTACTTCACCTTGTCCAATCAGAGAAAGTTTTGCAGTCATTCAGAAAATGAATGAATTTAATTTTCAGTGGCATAGGCCAGGTATGGCGTCTGTCTATCTGGGAACAATGTAAAAAATATGTGATGCTTGGAAATTCTTTCAATACGCAAACACATACTGTACATGCCCTAATTAGAAAATATAAAAGTAGAAAGATAGCATTCATAAGTTTATTCTTTCTATATAACCAATACCCTTAAATATCTTCCCACTATTGCTTTCCAAACTTGGCACAAATAAAAATTTCAGAGATTATATTGTTCCCTTTACAGTAATAAAATTAACCCCTACAGACAATACTGTTAATCAGATTAAAACAATATTTTTTGTGCTAGACTCCTATATAGGGAAATTGTCTATGCTCGTCCCTCTTGCCGACGGGCTTCTGCACAAGGTAGGTGAACTGCATCCTGTGTCTGAACAATTATGGTGAAGACCTTCACTCCAACAACACATCCAAAACTGCATGAATTTCAGCAACCTATAAAGATTATGGACCAGGCAAACCTTGCTGTGAAGCAAACCACACACATTTTTCACAGTTCAAAAATTAAATCTGCTCATTCCTGCTGAAAACAACATTCCTAAAAAGTGTTATAGCACAGTGAATTCATCCTTCAGGGACAGATACCATATTTGTTCACATTAAATCATAGGGAGCTTTTTATAATTTGTTTTTACCCAAGATTCCCACATTTACCCAAATATTAAGAATTGTTTTTCTGCATAAGTCATATAAAAACTGACCCCTAGTTTTTTGGATTGGAAAAAAAAGCAAATCAGATTTTTTTTGGCAAACAGTAATTGGTACGGTGAGTGCACCTCACTGCTGATTAATTGAGCACGTGCTATAGTATACAATTTTAATTATGCTAATATTAAGCCAATATTAAGAACTAGGTATGTAAATTATTAAATCTAAAATCGAGGGATAACTGATCACCTCTATGCTTTCATCATTGACAGTGTTTTCCTCTCTCTTTCTTTCTTCCTCTTCTTGTTCCAATTCTTTGATACTTTCCTCCAATACATTTGGCCAGAAATCTCCTTCGAAGTAGGGCAACTCCTTGGCACTAGTTAGCCGGTCTTCAGTTGCCTGCTTGAAGATGTCCTGAAAAAAAAAATATATACACAAAAATGTGTTTTAATAAAAAAAATAAAAATTTCCAAAACACATAAGCTCCTTAAACAGGCTATTTTCTGAAAAACATTCATTCATAATGTCTCATTATCTCGAAATCTTAGGGCCCATTTACACAGTGTGCAGTGGTACTGTGCCCTTTACTTCAGCACACTGCAACACTTTGTGTAAGTGCATTGGCATTCATTTTGACTAACTGCAACACATCTATAAACGCAATCTAGCTTGGAGCCCATTCAAAATTAATGGGCTGCATTAATGCAGCATGCCGCAAAAAACAATATTGTGAGTTACCAAAATAGTCTTATTGGGCCTTCATTATGAGGCAAAGCTTTGGAGGGGCAGACTATATTACTTTCTGCAATTTGTCATGACCGTATTGGCTAAAAAAAAAAAAAAAAAAAAAAAAAAAAGCATAACTACTTCTTGTGCATTTTGTCTCTTTAATTTATGTTCATGGAAGAGTAATATGCAATTTTGGCTTTGCATAATGTGTTCTTTTATACTCTGACTACTCTATTGCAGAACTGCAAATTCTAGTGGTTATAAATTGGTCTGGAGCTAGGCTATAAAATTAGAGCTCCACCCAAATGGGAAAGTTCCGCTTTCAGTACTAGTCCCCTGCTCCCCATGAGGAATTGGCACCTTTGGGGAGCAGGCACCGGATTTTGACAGATACCCACTCCAATTTCCGTTGTGATCCCCTAGGCGATCGGGAGTGGAAGTTGCCCAACCAACGCCCCCCCCCCCTCCCCCCTCTTTCCCCGTAGTCTTCTGGGACACGTGAAAGGTCCCAGAAAAGACTATAGGACAATTCACAAGGCACAGCGCTACTTGGGCATGCACAGTGGTCACCTGGCTGTGAAGCCGCAAGCTGTCACAGCCAGGGGCCCACACTTAAGATGTCGGTGAAACAGCTACAGTGAGTACACCACAGGATAATGGGACAGGTGAGTGGCTGTTCTTAAAAGTCAGCAACTTCAGTTTTTGTAGCTGTTGACTTTTTATTTTTTTTTCTATCTTTGACTGGAGGTCCACTTTAAGAAGGTTCTGCCAATTAGAGTTATAAACCCGTACTAGATGAGGGACATGTAATATCTCTAAAGCACTGTGTATCAAACAACTGTCTTTTTCATAAATGCAAGGTTCACTGTTTTCATCCAGGTAATGCTGATCTCCTCTAGCCTTGCTCAGTCCCTGTCTATATGCACTCACTGCAGCGTCAGCGGTTCTGCACCACCTTCCTGACAGTAACATGGGTGGATCATGCCTGCACAATGTGTGTCTGCACAGCTCTCCATAAGATGATCGCTGTGATAGCCTCTGATTGGCTATCATAGTGATCAGTCACTGTACAGCCCCGCCCCCTTGTTTTTTTTTTTTTCTCTCTGTGAATGGACGAGAGAGATACATTGTATCTCTAACTCCTGGCATAGAGGGGGAAAACAAAATGTTTCAAAAAAAAAAAAAAAAAAAAAAAAAAAAAAGATAAATAAATATTAAAACATAAAATAAAAAATAAAGAAAAAATACCTAGATCAAGGTTTGATATAGTTCAGTGCCAGGGTAAGTGTTTGGGTCAAGGTCAGGATTTAAAAAAAAAAATTGGTGTTAGTGTATTTTAGGGAAAAAAACAAACGGACCACATCTTATTTAAAAAGACTGAAAACTATTTTTGGAATTACATAACCCCTTCCTCTTACCACCTCCTGGGCCTTTATCATGCAAATGCTGGGAGGCAGAGGCAGGCATTCCAGTCATGTGACCACTGTGATTGGCTGTCACAGCAGCCACATAATCGGAAAGCTCCCGATCTCAAGTAGGCATCAGGAGCTTTCCAGTTCTCACCAGTAGCTGAGCTGGATGCACGCAGGGTGCGCTCTCAGCACACGAATGTTTACAGTTGCAACACAATATGCGACCTCTCTGTGCCCACTCCCCGAGAGGCCGCATATATGTGTATATGCAAGCTGAACTTGTTAAAATTATAGATATTTTTACATTGTAGATATATTTATTGACCACTCACTTCAAGGAATTTTAAAAGTCATAACATCAGGGTTCTGAAATATTTCATTTCAACGTTTTAGACCTGTTCATGAATTTTTTTTTTTTTTTTTGTTTTGGATGGAGTGGAGAGGGATTAGAGCACCTGTTTGGTTTGTATTGCTGTCTGCGCCCCATTAGGGAGATTCGCCCTCTCTATTTGTCCTGTTTACAGTTACCGTTGAAAGTGAAAAAATATACAAAAACCTTTGGGTTGTCACCGGGACAGTAACTGAGGGAAAGTCTTCCAATGGGGACACTAGTTCTGGCAACATTGGTGACAACCAGGGAATCCCTGTTTTATAGCTAAAACTTCCTGTTTTAGCTATAAGATATGAAGGAAAGGAAAATCCCCCCAATGGAACACAAATGGCAAAAACACCTGACAAGGGTTATAATCCTCCCTTGTCCAAGGGGATAAAACATTTTCCCTTTAGTTCTACTAAAAAAACAAAAAAAAAAAAACAAAACAAAACAAAAAACGCATTACAAAGTGACAATACAAATAAACAATTAGTGGCTTCTAAGCACACATGAAAAAACAAATCAGTTACCTTGTAGTCATGAACAATACGTTCAGACACACTTTTATCCAACATTTTCTTATACCATTCCTGCAAACGTTTGGGCTTTGGTATTTTCTGATCGAGAGGATGGCAATGGAAAATGTAGTCATCTCCTTCACTAGGAGGACAAGCCCAGATATGTCCAGTCGTGTACCTGTGTAAAAATTTAGAAAAACCTTGCCATTTAACTGAGGATATATTTACAATGCTAGTTAATTATACCATGCAAGCCAGCAAATGTTTCATAAATGTAACTGATGTTAACAAGGTTGAAACGTATCTACCAGTAAATTCTATATTTTGGAGTACAGTACAGGAAGTCATAGAGGGTTATATGACACTACCTTCAAGTGACTGGACAGTGGAAAAGCTTTGCTGGGAACGTCCCCACTGCACCCTCATATATCTCCACTCACTCCTTGGGTCTTGGGTTTTGTAACAAGTAATAAAAAGAAACAGGGAACATAGGGGATGGACTTATGTCCTGTACTGTACTCTAAGATACTGAATTCACTGGCAAGAAAAAATTCCCAGTACCTTAAATTGTACAGTACAGAAAGTCAGAGACCATGTCACATCCCCAAACAATAAACTGAGGGGTGGGTAACAACATGCCAAACAAGCAAAGAGACCCCCCCCCAAAAAAAAATATATAATTCTAGCACCAGACCTCCTCTGCACATCTAACGTGGTAAGTTGTACAGGCTTTTAAAGCGTCACCTGGTTTTAAAAAAATAATAAATGCATATTTTTAACATGCAAAGTTATGTGCAATTATTTTTGATTAAAGAGGAACTTAGTCTTTAGGTCAGGTCACTGGAGCATTCAAAGTACACACAGACCATTTATCAATACATTTTCTTTTAAAAGGAAAAAGCTCTATTACATTATCAGGAAAACCCTAAATTCCTATAGGTTGTTTACAGGCTTCGTAGAGGATGTTTTAAACACCGGGCTTCATAGAGGAATGTTTTAAATACCAGGTGTAATGGGAGGGTCTTTTAGAGCTATTATAACTGCAAAGACCCTAGTAATGAAACACCATGCTGATCCTTCAAATGCAAAGCATTAGCCAAGTATGGTATATGCATAGATACATAGGTCCAATTAGGACAATTCCCTAATTCCTGTGCCCCTCAATGGACAGTAAAGAAAAAAAAAATTACATGATATCACAAGAAAGAAGAAGAAAAAAAAAAAAAAAGGAGATGCATTACTTTATTATCTTGAGTAATGTCAATAATATTGTTAAATCAATGGGTCCATACTTTAAAAACTGCCCTAGTACATACAGTGCCTGTGCTGGGATGACTGAACTCTGCACATGTACAAGAGTTTCGTCATCCCACGTTGGCAATCAAGATGACCAAAGATTGGCACCTGGAAGAAGCCAGGGAGAAAGTGTTGGTGACGGACCTTGCTGGTGTAGGAGCCAAGGTAAATATTGCAGTACCACTTTAGCTAAATGCATAAAAGCAGACCATTGTTAACACCCCTGTCAGTGTTAAATGGTTTGTCTCAACCCTCTAATTTTGAAAAAGAGCTCAGGCTGTAAAAGGAAGTTTAAAAGCAAATGTGTGCAACTAAAACCTGTTTTAATGCAAACTGTTAGACAGGGCCAACTTGTTTTTGTTGCAGGCTAGCTGGTAGGTGTGCTGGGAAATTTTTTGTTTGTAATGTGCAAAGCCCCTTCCATGTGCACCTTACTGTAAAAGGCTAGTTATAGGTTAGGGTGGTTGCCACCTATCTGTACAACTTGTCGGCTGAATTTGATGCAGGGACACATTGGATACCTTCGGCTGCCATAGTGTTTTTGCTGGGTGTCAACTGTGTCCTTGCGCTTTTAAGAGAGAGTGGGCTCCATCCAGGCTAACCTGCCCTTGATTTAACCACTGCTATATATGCGCCAATTTGAGAGACTCTCAAAAACTATAGTGTTAGGACCACAGTATACAAAAGAACCTTGGCACGGCACTGTGGCTTTCACATATATTTGCAAAAGTGTGCAACGCAAACTGTTAGACAGGGCCAGTTTGGTTTTATTGCAGGCTAGCTGGTAAATTTTCTGTTTGTAATGAGCTAAGGCAGACTTTAGTTCCACTTTAACCAAATGAGTAAAAGCAGAACATTGTTGGTACCCCTGTCAGTAATAAATGGTTTGTCTCAACCCTCTAACTGCCTATTTTTTCCAAGACAGTTTGGGCTGTAAAAGGAAGTTGAAAAACAACAGACTTACTGGCAAGAACACCAGGTTAAAAAAAAAAAAAAAAAAAAAAAAAAAAAAAAGCATAGAGGGTTAATGTTACTCAGAAAAATCAAGACTGTTGTGGTAATGCTACATGGGCACACTATCGTACACACATCTCTCTCTCTCTCTCCATATATATATATATATATATATATATATATATATATATATATATATATATATATATATATATATATATATATATATATATATATATATACACACATATATACATATACATACATATATACACACACACATATACAAACACGTTTTTTTTTTTTTTTTTTTTTGCTGCATAGTTATGTTATGTTGTAAATTGCTCCCTGCTATAAAAATACACCACTTACCCAAGTTTCTTAACATATTCAAGGTATCCAATTAAAATTTCATGGTAGACCACTGTCCTTAAGCACTTTGGTTGAAAAAAGTGAACGCTATCCAGGTAAGAGATGTATACACGCCTAGGAGGTGGGAATAATAGAGGATACAGTCATATGGAATTATAATAAGTTATGTGAAATGAGGATAATGATAAATTGTGTACCTACCTCTGGTTGGGTGGTGGGCAGTCCGACCCATACTCCTGTACATGCATACCAAAAAAGCACAACTCAACACCATCTACCTCTTCAAAAGCAAAAAGGGCTTTTGTACGGTAAGGGAAAGACTCTGCCATTTCCCCTGTATCCACAAACCTGAAAAGAAACAGAATTGTTTTTTTTTCAAATGCAAAACCTTAGCAGCTGGAATGCACTAATCAAGGACACAAAGATTACATAGTTAGTCTGGTTGAAAAAAAAAAAGACACAAGTCCATCTAGTTCAATCAATAAAAAGGGAGAAAACATTTATACATTTCTATACCCAGAGTTGATCCAGGAAGAAGGCAAAAAAACAAACAACCCAGTAAAAAACGATCCAATTTGCTCCAGCAGGGGAAAATATTCTTTGCTGATCCCCCAAGAGGCAATCAGATATTTCCTAGATTACCTTTACCTGTAAATATTAGTATCTAGTTATATTATGTGTATCTAGAATCCAGGCATTTTTTAAAGCAATCTACTAAACTGGCCAGAACCAGCTCTCTAGGGAGTCTATTCTCCATTTTCACAGCTCATATTGTGAAGGAACCTTTGCGTATTTGGATATTAAATCTCTTTTCCTCCAGATGTAAAGAGTGCACCCTTCTCTTCTGTGATGACCTTAAAGTGAATAATTCAACACCAAGTTTACTATATGGACCACCTATGTATTTATACATGTTGATCATATCCTCCCTTAATCTCCTCTTCTCAAGAGAATAAATTCAGTTTCTCTAATCTTTCCTCATAGCTGAGCTCCTCCACGCCTCTTATCAGTTTGGTTGCCTTTCTGTGCACTTTCTCCAGTTCCATAATGTTCATTTTGTGAATTGGTGCCAAAAACCTGCACTACATATTCCAGATGAGGTATTACTAATGATTTGTACAGGGGTAAAATGAGCAGTGGTCTGTACTCAAGTTTTAAATTGAGCATGGAAGAATTAGAATTGTATTTTATAGCTATCTGTGTTTTTGTTTTATTGCCTTCCTGTTGCTCACTTTCTTGATGCCTAACGTTTCACCAGTTGGTGAAGGGGAAATGTAAAATGGACAAAACTTTAAAAGGCTGACTAGGGTTCTAGCTTCACCCTACTCGAAACAGCATTTGTATTTTCCTCTTTGTTGCCAGTAGATCTTCTGAGGCCTCATTTCCTGTCTAATGAATTTGTAGTCACTAGGACAGTAAGTCGAGAGAATTAACATAGAAACACAGAAAAGTGATGTCAAAAAAAGACCAAGTGCTCCATCGAGTCTGTCCGTTTTTGTTTTTTATTTCATTAGCTTTTTTGTCTGAGAAAAAAATCTATGCTGGTCTCAAGCATGTTTGAAGCTATTTACTGTTGACTGGATCACTACCTCTGCTGGAAGTTTATGCCAAACATCAACTACTCTTTCAGTAAAAATACTTTGAGATTAGTTTTGAACTTTCTTCCAGTTAGTTTGAGGTCATGTCCTGTGTCCTTGATTTTGGTTTCCCTGTTGAAAATACTGCCCTCCTGAACTTTATCCACCCCCTTGATGTATTTAAAGGTTTCAATCATGTCTCCCCTTTCCCTTCTTTCCTCTATACTGTACATGTTATGTTCCTGAAGTCGCACTTGATAAGTTTTATCCCCCAGACCTTTCACCATTTTTGATACCCATCTCTGGACTCATTTTATCATCAATATCTTTTTGTAAGTTCTCTAATAGAACCTCTGGCAGCCACAAAACTAAAATAGGTTTTGTGGCTTGAAGTATGGGAGATAAACATTCGCCTAGATAACTGCAGGATCGATCCAATGCTGCAGCAGTCTCCCACTGGCTCTAAGACTGAGAACCGAGTGATCACATGACTAGTGATTGCTTCATTCTCGGTCTTCATTGAGAACTGTCACTGACTCTGTTCTGACCCTCCTATGCTCATGAGAGCATCGGGCTGTGGAGGGGTCTAAGCAATGTGAGGCTGAGCCAGCACCTGGTCAGGCATCTGGGCAAATCCTGACGTTGTCGGGATCCCAGCAAAGCCTGGATCAGCTCGGTCCTGGACCCGTTACCTGAATCTGTGTCACAGGAGTGCAAAATGAAAAAAAAAAAAAAAAGGGGCACTTCCGCTTACAATCTGTTTATTAACATTCCTCAGCATGATGTCCAGTTAGAAGCTGGCACTGACAATTGCGAACCAAGCACCTTGGTTCCCTACTTTGTGATCATCATGCAGCTCTGACATAGCGATCACATAAAGCTGGGGGCTTGATTGAAAAAAAATAAAGATAAAAAAAAAAGGTAAAAAAAAATAAAAATAAATAAAGCACATCTGCACTAACAGAAAACACATACAGACTGCCATGACAGAAGTTTTGAAATGCTAGTTGCCTTGATATATCTGGCCTCAATGCTTTACTTACTTGGCTTTCATGCCAGGTTTCACTTCCACAGTTTTGTCAGAGGCGTGGACAACACGAACAATAACTTCCCCAGCCTCAGGATTACCCTGTCTTCTTAGAAAATCATTGACACGATTCTCCAAAAATGTACCTAATCTTGTAGATGGAAGTCCTGTTGAAAAGGTTTAAGAGCCAAAGTTTGTATATGTCAATGTTTGAGGATTGATTTAATTATAAATGCAAACGCACTTACGTTTTGCTGAAAACTTGTTCTCTTTTCTGGTTTGGCCACTTTTCTTCAGGCAACGATCGCAAACAAAACTACAGTTAAAAGAAAAAAAAAAGTCAATTTAGAGGAAAAAAAAAAGAGAAGAAACAGGATTTTTATTTTGTCGCCGTAAAATCCCGTTCTGAGTTCATTAATGGACACAGTTCTTTTATTCTTGACCATAGGGTTATAATGCCACCTACTGGAGTAGGACACTAGGCAGAAAAAAAAACAAAAAAAAAAAACACAGCACCGCCTACAGGCAGTCATAGCTGGTATAAACCCTCCCTCTGCTACAGACAAGTTAGTTACACCCCGGTCACATCCGGCGTGACTTGTCATACGATTTGCATGACCTGCGACTTGCAAATCGTATGTCAAGTCGCACCCTATTGTCTGCTATTAGAGCATTCATATCGTTACAGTTCCGACTTGTTCGGAGCCACACCGATTTCTAAAGTTGTGCATGCACTACTTTTGTTGCAATTTGCATAGACATCTGTTTCAGATGTCTTGCAAATCGCAACTGAAATCGGCAGGTCACCCGATTTTTAAATTGTGTGACTTCACTAAGTCACACGATTTCAAAATCGGCTTTGATGTGACCGGGGATTTAGTCACAAAGCAATGTAAGGAGACAGAAAAACACAAGAAGAGGGGTCGCTGCTGTGTCCATAAAAGGGATTTTACAGTAACAAAAAAATTCTGTTCTTTCTGGGTGCCTTCAGGCAACACAAACAAGAATGACAAAATGGAGGACATTAAATTGAGACTCATGCAACCCCAACAGGACCAGGCAGTGGAGAGCAATCTCTTTAGAATGGCCTATGTCCTGATTTAAATGAAACATGGAGACTGCCTTAGGCAGGAAAGAGTTTCATGGTCTCAAAAACAACCTTGTCCTTGTGAAGTACATGAAAAGGTTCCTTACAAGACAAAGCTGCTGGCTCAAACACCCTGATAATCAAGGTGACATCCATGAGAAAGGCAACTCTGTGTGATAACAAAAGGACAGAAATTTCCTGAATAGGTTCAAACTGTGGCCTTAGAAGGATCAACACTAGATTAAAGTCCTATGGAGTTAGTGAGGAGCATACATAGGGAACAATGCGAGTCCCTCCTTGCACAAATGCTCTTACTAACAATTTGAAAGCTAGCACTTATCCAGTCCTGACTGAAAAAAGCAAAAACCTTTGCCACAAAGCATTTTGTAGGATAAATCTTTCCTTTTTTGCACTAAAGTACGCTTTTCAGGTGTGGTGGTGAGAGTTTTCTGGTCTTCAGTAAAATGGGATCCACAGAGTTCCCAAGATCCCTGTCCCTCAGGGCTTCAACAGCCAAGCCGTCAAAACCAGTGACCAGGAAACAAATTAGAAAATTGGACCTTGAAAGAGCCAGAAGGGGCAGTTTGGTAGGGCCCATAGACAGACTGCTAAGGAGTAAATGTCTGAGCTCCATGGCCTTCTGTGTCAATTCAGTGCAATGAAAATCACTGGAATGCCTTTCTTCTCTATCCCCTAAAGCAAATGAGGCAAGAGCTTGAAGGGTCATAAATCCGGCTGTATGGATTTGACAATGAAAATGTTCAGATTGCAGGTGAGTCTGGACACTGTTGGATCTACATTTGGTGTCTCCCACTGAAGACAAAATTGGTGAAATACTTCTTGAAGTGTTGAAGTATTGCTGGATTAAATCCTGACTAGCAGTTTCCCAGAGCAGGGGGTCTAGTGCCGAGCTCCAGAACATTGATCAGCATCTGGGCTTCCTCTGACGACCACGTCCCTTGAACTGACTCCTTCCCAGCCTACAGGCTGGCATCCGTCGTGAGTACATTCCACATGGGGAAAACTCATGCCAGAGCCGAATCCAGGATGAGGCCCTGATATTACAAGTAAAGCAATGGTTGTGCACTGGCCCTAAGACCACCTTTTCATTGATCCCACAGGAACAGATCGTCCAGATACCTCAAGATTGGAAATCCCCCTGGCTCACAGAAGAGTCAGCATCATCAAACACATGCATGCTGTGGCCAGGCCAAAAGGCAAAGCCGCAAACTAAAAATGCTACCCCCCACCCTCCACCACACAAAGCACAATGAAGCTGAAACATAGGGATGTGGAGGTAGGCACCCTTGATGTCCACTGAGACCAGAATACCCCAACAACCCCCACAATGGAGAGAAGCAACCACTGATCGTGCAGATTTCACAAGAACTTGTTCAAGCTCTTTAGGTCCAAAATTACCTGCACATCACCATTTGGCTTGGGTACTGTGAATAGTTTGGATTAGTAACTGTGAAATCTAATCTGCTTCTAGGACAAGGGAAATGACCCATTGAGAGCAGAATTGGTCCACAGCAGTTAACAGGACTGCTTTTTTTTTCAAGTGCATTAGGCCCGTGTGATGCCATGAAGCGTGGAGGAGGCAAGACGTGAAGCTCCAGCTTGCAGTCTCTGGGTATAACATTTTGAACCCAGACATTGGGTCCATATGGCCGCAAAGGACCATCAAATGCTGTTTTCCGTGAAAAGGGCTGATTCCAATATGTCCCTACGCATGTCCAGTGCAGTCTACCAGCTATGCCTACACAGTAGCACAGGTAGGCGAGTCACTCTTGTACAGTGGTGCTGTTGGGTTGCAGTTGTGCAACAGGCAGTCATCAGCGACTGCACACTTAGGACCAGACAAAGGGAGGAATCGTCACCCTCTCTGCAACTAAACAGGGTGACAGGATGTACGCATTGCCTTCTAGTGGCGTAGTCATTTGTCAACCACCCGGAGGCTGAGAGCCCCCCTCCAGCTTTTAACAATGGCAGAGAAAATAGCACACAATATACCCTCACAATTAAAACGTACAGCCATACACACAGTCACGACATTGATCTAAAATGAACTAGCTCTAAACTGATGAAGTAGGGAAAGTTTCAACTGGGTCACCTTATTAGCGTTTTCTTATCTTAATTTTTCACTATTTGGCATAGGTTTGGGAATTAAATCTTGGTTTGGTTTGTAATTTAACTAGATGCAGTTATATCTTTTATAGTTAACAGAAATTTGGAGAGTACATTGTTTGTGCATTTTTAAGGAAAATAAAGAATTCAGAAACATTTGCACACATATCATGGAAAACAGAATTGGACTACTAGAGTCTAATATGGTTGGTCTGGAAGTTAGTATTTAATTGGATCTGCTCAGCTTAAAAACAGCTCATCATTTCTTTTGTATACTAAATACCTCTTGAATTAATTTAGGGTGAACTGGGTTTAAGAGACAGCATAAAAAAAAAGGGAGAAAAAAAAGGTTTACCCGGTTGGCCAGATTGTGTCATTATGAAGAACACAAATTTGATGCATTTTCCGACCACAGTCTAAGCAGTCCACAAACCTAAAATAAAACACAGCATTACAATTTATAAGGTGTAACATATACATAGCATTATAATTTAAGAGTATAAAGCAGGATTCTAAGAATTGTATGATGTTATAAAATGTGTTACTCACCATAAAATTCCTTTCTCTGAGTTTATTGACGGACACAGCTTCTCTTTATTCATGAAGAAACTGGGTTTTATAGCTCTACCTACAGGAGTAGGACACTAGGCAGAAAATTTGACACCTCAAATGGGCAGTCCACTGTGGGCATAAAATCCCCTCTCTGCTATAGGCAAGCTAGTTAGTCACAAGCCCGGTCAAAAGGAAAACTTCCAACAGAGGTGTGTCCATCAAACTCAGAGAAAGGAATTTTATGGTAACAGAAAAAATTCCATTTTCCCTTACGTTCATTGAAAGACACAGCCTCTCCATTTTATTCATGACTAAGCAGGGATGTACGCAAGCAGAGCCACAACGAGGGGTGGGAAAACCAACTAAAGGAGAAAACCCAGGGCAAAATGCCAACATTACGGACCACCCCAAAGGGGCACCAGAGAGTCCTAAACAGCAGCCTGCAAAACTCTGCAGACAAAACTAGCATCTGAGGATGCCAACACATCAAAAAATGTAATTCTCATAAAATTTAGTAAACGCACATACACGACCAGTCACCACCTTTCAAACATAGGAAACCAGACGCCTGATGTTGGAACGACCAGGTGGTGCTAACCTCCCTGATGGAGTGCGCCGTAACGAGGAAGGGAGGTTCCTGCTCGTTAGTTGCATACGTGTGCACAATTGTTTGCAGAATCCAACAAGAAATAGTGGCAGAAAAGTCTGCAATGACTTTTCTCGGATTGTCCATGAGCACAAAGAAAATTGGATCTCCAAAAGGTGGCCTTCACAGAGATACATTCAACTCATAAGAACCATGCCTAAGGAGTGCACTGCCACCTTCTTAGGGTGTGCCAGTCTTAAGACACAAGGAGGGAAGGACAATGTCTACATTCAGGTGGAAATCTGACACCACCTTTGGGGAAAAAAAAAAAAAAAAGACGGAGGCCAAAGAACCACCTTATCCTTGTACAAAATCAAATAAGGAGTCTTACAGGGCAAAGCTGCCAATTCTGACACCTGCCGAGCAAAAGTAGTTGCAACTAGAAAGGCAACTTTATGAGCGTAAGCAAGGGAATAGCCTGAATGCTCTCAAAAGTAAGCTTCTGAACAATCTACAACACTAAATTCAAGTCCCAAGACAGCAATGGAGAGTGCATGGGGGGCACTATGTGACGAACCCTGGAGAAAGATGTGAATCAAAAAATGTATGGCTAAGGGATGCCGAAAAAGAACAGCCAGCGCAGAGACTTGACCCCTAATAGTACTCAAGGCAAGCCTCTGATCAGCACCATGCTGGAGGAAGGCCAACGCCCCGAGCCATCGAGAAGGAGCAATGATGAAACTCAAAAGCTTTGAACCAAACTTTATAGGCTTTCCAGGTGCAATGCTAAAACATTGGGAGGTAAACTTACGAGCCTTCACTGTAGGAATCACCAAAGCAAGACAACATTCTGTTCTTCAGAGCCTGGCTCTCAATAGCCATGTCGTCAAAGCCAGCGATGGAAAAGCAGGGTGGAAGCAGACTCCAGGGAGTGCCTGCCACCAACTGAACCACGTCAGCGTACCACAGGTGGTGAGACCAGTCTGGGGCCACCATAATGACCAAGATTCCTTTGATTTCTATCCCACACAGCAGACAGGGAATCGGCCCGAGAGGTGGAAAGGAGTAACTGAGATGGTACTGATCTCAAGGTATCTGTTGTGCCTGGAAGAGGATCCAACGTTTTCCCCATGAACCTCAGAACCTTCTGGTTGAGGTGGAACGCCAGAAGGCCCACGTCTGGTGACCCCCAGTGAAAACAGAACTGATGGACCACTCCCCCTGGTCTGACAGCTGAGATAATCCACCTGCCAGTTTTCAACTGCTGCTGCACTTCTTGTTCCACCCTGATGACTGACATAAGTCACCACGGTGGTGTTGTTCAATTGGGTCCTGGTTGGGAGCCCTCTGAGGGAATCTGTCCAGTGTGCCAGGGACAACCTGAGTGTTCAAAGCACTGATAGGTAGTTGAGCTTCCTTCAGGGTCCAGCGACCTTGGGCTGACTTGGCGCTCAGGACTCTCACCACCAAACTGGCTGACATCTGTAGTGACCACTATCCAGCGAATAGGAACAAAGGACTTCCCGGCCATAGAGACAGAGACCACAACCACCAGAGGAGAGACCCTCATCCACTGCTCCAGACGAATCGGATTGTCCAAGGAAGCTATTCCATTTGGCTAGGATTTCTTTTTGCAGAGCTGTTATGGAACTGGGTATATGAAACTGCTTCGAAAGTTGCCACCATCAGATCTAAAAACCTGTATGCAAAAACATAGGGAGGGCAGCTCGCAAGACAGGAGCCGCCGGACCGCCTGAGCAAAGCTTTTGGAGTTTGCCTGAAGAGAGAAACACTCTGGCCTGCTCTGCATAGAGAATCAGCCCCAGACACTCCAAGTGCTGGGATGGTGTCAACACAGACGTCCCGAGGATCAGAATGATGGCTGCTGTCAACATTTGCCCACATGCCGACCTGGCGATAGTGAACATAGAGGGGGCCACTGCCTCCGCCCTCTGGTCCGCAGGATCCTTAAAGGAGAGGGATTCCTCCACCAGGATCACCATGGCCTTGTTAAGTCTGGAAATGGAGGGATCCACCACATGAGAAGCAGTCCACTTCTTAAGAAAAGCCTCTTCAAAGAGGTAATGTACTGCGAAGTGAAGTACAAACGGACCATTCGGGGGGTGATGAAATCCTTGAAGACAAATCTGTCAAAATATGCTGGGTAAAGAAAAAAACCTTAGCAGCCTGGGTCAGCTTAGGTGTACCAAAAAAAAAAGAGCCACCACTTCAGATACCCCAGCAGAGTTCCTAATTTTAAGCATCTTACACACAGAATCAATAAGTGCAGCGACTAACGCCTTTTTCTGTGCAAATACAGAGGCAGAGGACCAATCCTCCTCATTCTAGGAATCAGGGGATGCGTCATCAGGATCCGCAGTAAATACAGAGCCTGCAGTGGCAGAGTTCTACCCAGGCTCAGCACAGTCAGAGGACGAGGTTGACAGCAGGAGTGCTGCTTGCTCACCTTACATCCGACAGCAGCCTCCACTGGTGAAATTAACGACTCCAGGACAAGCGACAGCACGATAACCGAAGGACCCACCACCTCCAGGAGGTAGAGCATGCTCCCTGAGACTCCATAGGGACTAGCATAACCAGGTGAGCACTGCCATAAAAGGGACCCCAAAAAAGGGTATGAGGCCAGGAGAGACCACCCCCAAGGCTAGCCTAGTAGGGGGGAGAGCGAGAGATGACTCACCAGACTGCCAGGAGCTGCAGATGTCAAGCGCATGTTGCTGTACAGAGCCACGTCATAAGTCCCTGAGACTTAAAAAAAAACAAACAAAAGCAGCAGTACAGTGTCTACCCAGCCCAGGAGTGCCTTTGATGCCCGAAGGCCGCATCGGCAGGGAGAAAGGGGGGACAGGCTCAGAGGCAGCACGGGGACCAGACTCTACCAGGGCCGTAGCCCAAGCCCACAACCTCCACTGTTGCTGGCAGTGTCCTCACAGGTGAGCTACCTGGGATGGGATAGGGTGGAGTGGATGGGGGGAGGTGAGGGGGTACCCGCAGGACCGAGCGAGCAGTCTGTCAGGGTAACACTGTAACATGGACTATTCTCTACCTCGGTCCAGGGTGGGGCTGAGCGCTGAGTTTGCAGTCAGCGCATGCTCATTGACTCAGACTGAGGTGAACACTGGATTTAGATTATCCAGCCCATCGCCCAGCCCAGCTGTTGACTGAAGATCTCTGCAGCAAAAAAAAAGAGAATTCCCAGTAAAAAGAAAAGAAAAAAAAACAAAACAAAACAAAAAACCAAAGAAGCTATGGAATAGCAGGTTTCCGGCATGGAACACTGTCCATACTTGTGAGGATGCTAAGCAGAATAATTGGCTTGTTTATAGCAGAGAGGGGTTTTTATGTGCAGAATGGACTGCCCACAGGGGGTGGTAAGCTTTTTTTCTCGTGTCCTACGTCTGTAGGTGACGCTATAAAACCCTGTTTTTCTCCTGAAGAAGAGAGGCTGTGTCAATCAATGAATGTAATAGAGGGGGGGGGGGGGGGGGGGGGGGGGGGGGGGGGCAGCGGGCGGTTTGAGAAGCCTATATATACACAAATATAAAAATACCTAAAAACAACATAATCTTGTAGGGATTACATACTGTTCTGGTTCCAAAGTGTCATTTTTCTGTTTGGAGAATTGATCTTTGTTGATGGTACTAAAGTGAATGAAAAGGAAACAAAAATCAGAAAAACATACTGTACAGAGCATACAGAGAAAAATTACATATGTATAAATGAATATGCACTTGGAAGAAACCTCCAGAGGTGGCAACACTGTACTTTAATAACCAGTACTAATAAATGTGTACAAAAGAATAGAGCTAAGACAGCCAAGTAAACAGTGTAAAAAATGTGTGATACGCACAATCTATTGATAAACTGTAACATAACCATACATAAATTATAATATTTGCACTGTATACAAATAAACAATGTGAAAAACGTGACCAAACCATCCAGACAATATCTGGTTATTGTGGTCCAAAAAAGTGCAAACTCCAATCTCCAGAAAAATCCAGCAAAAGGTATCAGATGTCACATGAAAGACACACATTTTTTGGTACTGTGTATTTGTCTGTGTTAGCGCTACCACTTTTGTACACATACAGAGAAAAATTACATAAAAGTAAATACTGCATTTACACGTTAAATATCTGCTACCTATGTGTGAATGTAGCATATGTGAATACAGAAATCACAACAGTTCTCTCTTTCCAAAGTCTACAGAAATGCCATTTGCATTGCTTATGCTGGCCATACATAAATTGAATTTCGGCCAATTCCTGCTGAATCTGCCGAAATTAACTCCGTGGGAGGCTCAGCTCAACATGACTATTTTTCAATGAACGTTGGTCAAAGCAGCTGGACACAAAATTCTTGACCACACAGTGCCAGCATTCAATCATATACAGTTAAGTTCATATGTATTTGGACACAGGCATACTTAGTTTTTTTTCAGGTATTTACCAAAACATATTCAAGTCTAGTTATATAATGGATATGGGCCAAAAGTGCACACTCTCAGGTTTAATTTGAGGGTATGCACATCCAAACTGGAGGAAGAAATTACAGCTCTTAAGAGCAGCCATGCCCCCTTTTTCAAGGGACCAAAAGTAATTGGACAATTGAATAAAAAGCTGTTTCATGGCCAGGTGTGGGCTACTCCTTTGTTATTTCTTCATCAATTAAGCAGGTAAAAGGTTTGGAGTTGATTCTAAGTATGGTATTTGCATTTGGAATCTATTGCTGTGAACCTACATCATGCATTCAAAGGAGCTGTCCATGCAAGTGAAACGGGCTATTGTAAGGATTCAAAAATGAAACAAATCCATCAGAGAAATAGCAGCAACATTAGGAGTGGCCAAATCAACAGTTTGGTACATTCTGAGGAAAGAACGCACTGGTGAGCTCAGCAACATAAAAAAGGCATGGATGTCCAAAGAATAAAACAGTAGTGGATGATCGCAGGATCCTCTCTATGGTAAAGAAAAACCCATTCACAACATCCAGACAAGTGGACCCTCTCCAGGATGTGGGCATATCATTGTCAAATTCTAAAATCAAGAGAAGACTTCATGAGAGAGCAAATACAGAGGGATCACCACAAGGTGCAAACCATTCATAAGCCTGAAGAATATAAAAGCCAGATTAGACTTTGCCAAACAACATCCAAAAAAGCCAGACCAGTTCAAGAAAAGCATTCTTCGGACAGATGAAGCTAAGGTTTATCTGTACCAGAATGACGGGAAGAAAAAAGTGTGGAGAAGGCTTAAAACAGCTCATGATCCAAAGCACACAACATCTGTGGAGGCAATGTGGTGGCATGGGCATGCATGGCTTCCAGTGGCACTGGGTCATTGGTGTTTATTGATGATGTGACAGAAGCAGCTGGATGAATTCTGTAGTGATATACTGTTAGCCCAGATTCAGCCAAATGCAGCAAAGTTGATTGGATGGCGCTTCACAGTACAGACGGACAATGATCCAAAGCACACTGCAAAAGTAACCCAGGAGCTTTTGAAAGGAAAGAAGTGGAATATTCTGCAATGGCATGTCAATCACCTGATCTCAACCCAATTGAGCATGCATTTCACTTGCTGAAGGCAAAACTAAAGCCAGAAAGACCCACAAAGAACAACTAAAGACAGCTGCAGTTAGAGCCTGGAAGAGCATCAGAAAGGAGGAAACCCAGTCTTTGGTAATGTCCATGGATTCCAGACTTCAGGCAGTCATTGCCAGTAAAGGATTCTCAACAAAATATTAAAAATCATCATTTTATTTATGATTATATTCATTTGTCCAATTACATTTGAGCCCTGAAAATGGAGGGACTGTGTATAAAAATGGTTGCAGTTCCTAAAATTTGTACTTGATACTTATGTTCAACCCCTTGAATTAAAGCTGAAAGTATGCACTTTAATTTGGATTGTTTTGTTTTAATTTAGTCTAGCGGCATAAAGAGCCAAAATTATGAAAATTGTGCCCGTGTCCAAATATATATGGACCTAACTGTACAGGGACTGTTATGTTATTCCCACAGCCACGGGTGTGAGAATAAAATAGCTGGCACTACAGATTCATCAAGTAAGGCTGATTGAGAGATGTCTCACCATTTATGGCCAGCTGTGGTCTTTAGTTTGACTGAAATCTCCCCCCTCCTTTTTGTACCTTTAATCATTGTACAAACTCCCAGCTGCTTTAAGAGCTGTGAGCTTGCTGTAATTATTAAGACTTGACTTAGAACTTTCAGTACAAGTGAAAAGTGCAGCTATCCAGCCACCCAAGCATATCCCCTCTAATGTGTTATAAGCCCTCTTCCCTTAGAGCAGGGGTTTCCAAACTTTCTAAACAAAGGGCTGGTTTACAATGCGCCAGACTTCAGGCAGGCAGGATTGTGCTCAGATAGAGTAGAAAATGCCTCAGTGTCAGTGGGAGTAGACAATGTCTCAGTCTTGGTACTCAGTGGTAGCAAAAAAATTATATAGCGCCTGTGGTCAGTACGAGAAGAATGGTGTCCCATCTTCGGTGTCAGTGGGAGGAATGCTACCCCATCATTGTTGTCAGCTGGAGATTCAGTGTCCAGTCGCTGGTGTCAGAGGGAATACTTGTGCCCCAATGCTGATGTAGGTGGGAGGATCAGTGCCCCATCACTGCTGACAGTGAAAGGAAAAGTGCCCCATCTTTGTTGTCTGTGAGACAAAGCGTGCCAAGTGTCAGTGTAAGGAGCTGTGCCCTAAGGGCCACATCCAGGGAAGCAAAGGGCTGCATTCAGCCCATGGGCCACAGTTTGGAGACCACTACCTTAGAGAATGCTCTTCTCTAAGCCTCACTAGCCTTTAGCACTAGAGCAGGGTTTCTCAACCAGGGTTCCATGGAACCCTAGGATTCCTCCAGAGATTACTAGGGGTTCCTTGATCAACGAGCAATTTCAGCCTCTCAGATAAGTTTCCACTGACACCATTAATCTTTTTAGATATCTGTAAAGGGGTATTTCTTCCCAATGACCATAAGTGTAAGGAGCAATCTTCCAACTGACCATCACACTAATGTATCATGAGTAGTACATATAGTAAATATTAGCTGGAGTTCCCTATGACCGGAAAGTTATTTCAAGGGTTGCTCTGTGTTTAAAAGGTTGAGAAAGGCTGCACTAGAGTGGTGTATTTTGAATCCTGCTCTAGCGCACTACAACTGTATGCATTTCACAAGGTTGTGGGATGCCTCTTTCAGTTGAAGGATTCCTGTACAGAGGGCAGCACTTCTCACTGAATGCAACAATGGAAACAATATTTCCATGCTGCCATGTCAAAAGTACACACCCCTCCACTGAATTTGCAATTGAAGGGGGAATGGTGGAGGGGACGGTAAAACCTCATGGCTTTACCCCCCAACTGGGGCAAAGCATAAGTTTCTGCTATAATTCATACCTTTTCTAAAACCTAAACATTTTAATGCAGTGTTTCTCCACAATATTCAGACTGCAAAACATGCTGCATTTTCCAATAAGGTGGTTTAGCAGGATAATAAATTACACTATTAACACAGCATTAAATCACTAAGGGAAATTTGCAGACTAGTGCACCACCTACTGAATACATTCAGTAAATATTAAACATGTATATGTAATATCAAATATATAGCTGACTAGAAATATACAATAAAATGTTAGTCCTAACTAAAGCATATTCAAAAACACTATGGGGTCAATTTACTAAACTCAAATATACCGTGCACAGCAAGTACACTTCAAGTGCAGTTGCTTTCTGAGGGGGAAGCTCTACTGATGTCTATCATCCATTCATGTGAAAGCAAAAATGCTGTTTTTTTTATTTTCTTTGCATGTGATTGGGTATTCTTTACAACATAAAGCTTTACTTCATTTACTAAGCGCTGGGGCAACTGTACTTGAAGTGCACAGTGTATTTGCCTTTAGTAAATCTACCCCTATATGTTCCTTCAATCAATGAACAATTTACTGAAAATAAAGATGTTTGTACAAAATACCTTAGTAAAATATGTTAGCCATTCACAATGCAAATATAAGCAAATCAAGGAAAGAAAACACCCCATCTAATGACATGACAAAGAATCCATAGAGGTGAACATTTAAACATCGGTACCGTATTTTCCGGCGTATAAGACGACTTTTTATACTTAAAATCATACCCCAAAAATTGGGGTTCGTCTTATACGCGGGGTATATAATGTGAACCTTTAGTTCGTTTGGACCAAGATGGCTCAAAACGAACGTCCCTAATATGGCAGCATGCTGGATGTGTGGTAATACTGTACGGTAGCTTCGGCTACATACAATATACCGCGCGGAGCCAATCACGGCGAGTGATGTATTATATTAATGAATACAGAGCCTGCTCGGGTTGGCTGAGGTTGTGACATCATCAGCCCGCCTCTCTGGCTCAGCCAATCCGAGCAGGCTCTGTATTCATTAATAGAATACATCACTTGCTGTGATTGGCTCAGCACAGTATACTGTATGTAGCCGAAGCTACCATACATACAGTATTACCGCACATCCAGCTGACAGATTACCATAGCGATATTCGTTTTGAGCCAGCTTGGCTCAGCGCGGTATACTGTAAAACTGTATGTAGCCGAAGCTACCGTACCTACCGTATTACCACACATCCAGTGGGCTGACAGATTAGGGCCGTTTGTTTTGAGCCAGCTTGGCTCAGCGCTGTATATATACTGTATGTAGCCGAAGCTACAGTACATACAGTATTACCGTACATCCAGTGGGCTGACAGATTAGTGGGTGTATATTTAATCAAATCTGATCTTGTTAAATGGTGTTGCCTCAGAAGGGGGGGTAGTCTTATACAAGTATAGCCCAAAACCTATGTTTTACCTGGAAAATTACGGGGTCGTCTTATACACCCAGCCGCCTTATACGCCGGCAAATACGGTATGTATTTTTTGCAGTACATCAGAAGTAATATACACATATCCAAATGACCAGTCACTTGCACCAAAGAACTTGTAGTGATAAAATAAATTGGTTTATAACTGCAGTATCAATGTTTACAGGGATACTAAAAAACACAGAAGTACCCACAGAGGAAATATTATCCAAAAAATATGCTACTACACAAAAAATGTAATTCATAAAATGACACTTACGTCTGCGGCTGTGTTGGGTCATCACCAAGAGATACACTCTCCCCTTGGATCTCGTTGAAGCATTTCTCACAGAAGTGGTACCTATCAGCAAGAAGGCCATATTTGGGTGAACTGTTCGTTCATGCAACCATAGCCGAACCACGTGAAACGGGAGGTCATCAGAGGATGTTGCAGGAGAGACACAGGGTTTGCGCAGGTATTCATCAGGCCAAGTCACATGCCAGGGTAATTTTGATTTTTTTTTTTTTTTTTTTTAAGACGAGAGTTTTGTTTGAAATTCACGGCAATCAAAGTCACCACAGTAAGGATAAGGAAGGGTAAGAAATATACATATAACAGAGAAAGAAAGCAGGGGTGGGTGGGGGGATGTTTAAGACAAACAGAAGCAAGACAAAACAACACAAAGCAGAAAGCCAATGCAAAGCACAGATTAGCATAGGATTCTTTTTGAAATGGGATTACAAGCAGCAAAATCACAGCAAATAAAAGGAAAGATTTAACAAAAACTAATTAACCCACAAGGTTCAGGAAGAGGCATAGTTTGTCTTCTTGCTCCGCTTAGAGAGGACTCTACTTTCTACTTAAAAAGTCACTATAAACTTAAGCTTTAAAAATATGTATATATTAACCATCTAGATAGAGGTGAAATGTTAAAAGCATTTAATGCGATGACAAGCCTATTACTTTGCAATGCAGTGTAAGATTACATTACAGAAAAAACCAAGGTTTAGAAAAAAAGCTTAATAATCAAGTTTGTTAGGTTTAAATTTTAGCCAAGTTGGTTTGGTGAATTATAGACTGTTGTCTTTTGCCAGTAAGAAAAGGTAGCATACTGATTTTTCATTTTAGTGGATGTCCTCCCTGTACAGATGTCAACTCTGCAGCCTTGCTCAAACAATTCAGAATGAGATCTACAATTATTGCATTAAAACTGCTCATGAGACTATTTTCTTCCTTCCTTTAAAACCATAAATTTCTTGTTAAATAAAAAAAAAGCTAATTAAATTTTAGCTGGCAGTTTTATTAAGATAACTTGGTACAGTTGGCCAAAGCAGGTCCCCAAATAACAGCGGAGTAAGATGCAAATTGAAAGTACAATTTTATCATGACAAATGAAGAAATCATTCTATGAGGCTAGCAATGTCGCAGTGCCAAAGCAGGGTTGCTTGAAAAGACACCATGCTGTGAAAAGTCACAAAATCCTCCTTCTTTCAAACACACACACACAACTTAAACATATTGCTCAAATTGATAAAAAGCAGCATATGCACATAACTAGGCATTTTTAAGCAATACATGAAAGCTGGCACCCACATTTGGAAACTTATGCAATATCAACAGCTCACTATTTGTAACAAAGCTATTCCTCAGTCATTATCATCCAAACTGTGCTATTACGTCTCTGCTATATGTCAGTTTTTTTATTCAGTGGAGATTATCCTAATTTAGCATTTTCTCAATTGTTTTGTTCAAAACAAACAAGTTGAAATCCCAATGCATTTGAGCTAAAGTTCCTATAGAAAATATTTAGCCCCTTGGAAGATTTTATGTTGTATTGTCACAGAACATCAAATCAATCTGAATAGCCCTTATCTAGTCCAGCAAAAAAATACTCTATTGCCAGGAGACCTTGACCTGGCCAATCTAAAATATTAGCAATGTTGTTTAAATCCAATTTTGTGTAGTTTTGGCTTTAAACCTGGTGTCATCATCAAATTGGAAGAACAATTATATCCCAAGCCTTAGATTTCTAACAGATTGCAGCAGGTTTTCCTACAGGAATTTCTGCATTTTGTTTATTCTTTCTAACCAAACAAACCTTCAAGGACCTGCTGTGGAGAGGCATTCACACAGCATGGTGCTACCACTACCATGTTCCACATTGGGATTGGTGTGTTTGCGATGTTCTGCATTGTTTGGCTTATGCCAAACAATGGTGTTTAGCTTGAAGTTGAAAAGCTCAAATTTTGATTTTATCAGACCATGCAATTATCTTTTAGCTAGTTTTCTATGTCTCCTAGTTAACAATGGCTTTTTATCATCCTTCCATAACGCTGAGACTGACGAGGCCTCTGGGCAACAGCTGTTTGCGTGGTCTCTCCAATTTCAGCCACTGAGGCTTGTAACTCATCCAGAGTTATCATATTGTCGTAGATCTTTTGGTGGTCTTCACCCATCATCTCCTTGCACGATCACTCACTTTTGGTGAATGACCTGTTCTTGGCAGAATTTAAAGACATACACTTTCCACTTCTCAATGGCTGATTTAACTGTACTCCAATGGATACTCAGGGACTTGGAAAGTTTGCTTGTACCCATTTCAACTTTTTTTCGTGGTTTAGGTTATGTTACAATACTAAACCACCCAAAGTTTACCTTCCAGATACATTTGTATTTACACTACAAACATTTGAAATACAAATGACTATATACAGGTGATCTTTATTCAAATATTTATGATAGAAAAGAATTGGCTACACCAGTAACAAATTAGGCATGTCATATTAAAGAGCACATGGTCAATGTTTTTCTTTTTATTAGAATACATTTAAATCACTTTGCAAAAATCTGTTCTCACTTTGCAAAGATTTGTTGTTTTCTGTTTGACATGAATGTCCTTTTATTTGGACAAAAAAAAAAAAAAAAAAAAAAAACCGCACAAAAAGTTAAATTCAATATGATCTAATAATCTATGACACTAAAACATGAAACTTCCAAGATGGTAAAACTTGTTATAGAACTGTAATGATAAACACATTCAGCTTCTCATGTGCCAACACCTTGTATCAAGTTTCAAGAGACATTACTCTTGTGTTAGATAGCAGTAAATATAACACAGTGCATAATGATAATGTAGGCTAGGTTGTAGTCTTAATTTTACATTTTTAAAGCCCAAGTCCAGGAAACTTAAATTTCTCCCTTGCAGTGGGACTGAGACTGCACTGCAAGGTTTAGATGCTAGTTTGAGCTAGGGGACAGTTAAAGCACTTTTTCCCTAACCACTTCCCGTCCGGCCAATGTATATAAAACGGCCAGACGGGAGCAGTGCAGGGTCAGGTGGCCGTTTATAAATGGCCTCCCCGCACCCTGCTTGTGCAAGCTCCCTGGGAGCGCGCAGCACAGCGATCCGGTGCCCGCTGTGTCCTCCAGACACAGTGGAATACCGATCGTCAGACGGGACCTCTGTGCGAGGTCCCGATCATGTGATCACTGATTGGCCAATCAATGATCACATGCAGAGTAGTAAGCAATGATGTCACTTCTGACATCATTGCTTACTACGTGTGAAATCTGTGAATGATCACAGAGGTCACATGGTTCAAGGCTATTCACAACAGCCTTGTACCATGTGACAAGCTGTGACCAATCACAGCTCACACAGTAGTTTTCAAAAGAATGCAGCTAGAGAGAGGGAGAAATGATTGCTTTTACAGCCATTATGGGTGTAAAAGCGATCAGTGTAAAAAAAAACAAAAACAAATCTTCATCGCTCCCTAAAAGTAGTAAAGTGTCATCATGGTGACACTGTACTGCTAGGGTGACAGTATGTAAAAAAAAAAAAAAAAAACAAATATTAATATAAAAAAAAATGTAAAAAAAAGGTTTAAAAATGATAATTTTTGGTTATAAACTAATTTGGGTTTTTTTACTAAAAAGATAACGGAATAAATTTTGGCCAAGATTGATACTATTTGCAAAATTTTAAAACAAAAACACTATTTTTAAAAAATTTTGGACTTTCATTTACATAACAAAAAAAAATAAAAATCCCAGTGGTGAATAGATACCACCAAAATAAATCTTTATCTGTCTCAAAAACATGCTAAAAAATTCATATGGGTACAGTGTTGCATGACTGCGCAATTTTCATTCAAAGTGTGATAGCGCTGAAAGCTGAAAATTGGCCTGGGCAGGAAGGGGGTAAAAGTGTCCAGACTGGAAGTGATTAAGGTGATACTAAACCTAAAAACTTTTTTTTTTTTAACCTTTAAACGCATCCCTTGCAATAAGGTAAAAAACATTTTCAGTTTCTCTTTCATCCCCCTTCCCTGTGTGAAGGGAAAGAAAGATGAGAAGAGATCAAGCGCTGTGCATGGCTGCATCTCTTCTGAGCCAAGATCAATACCATTGTACAGAGCAGGTGAGCATAACATGTTTGGTATTTTCACAAAAAAACTAATTCAGACTTTAGTAAAACTCTCATCGATCTGGGAAGGCATTATAGGACGTCCTTCCCGGATTGCATATTGCGCATGCCCGCTCTTTGGCAAGATCTGTCACCGGCTGTGTACCTCAGACACAGCTAAAGACAGATCTGTGTACTGGCCCCGTTGCCAGTACCATGTGACCTGTTGTCACCATCACAGCAGGTCACATGACAGCTGTAAATGGATGGCTTCCTTTCATGCCATCCATTGTATACAAGTGTGTCTAGCTGTGAGTGGTCAGTGATCACATGCACAGGCTGGGCCAATCACAGCCCATCTGTGTCATGTGATTAGCCGTGGCCAATCACAGCTAATCACAACAAAAAACCTGAATGAATCAATTTCATATTCAGTTAAATGCTTGCTTATAGCAAAGACATTCTTTGCTATAAGCAGTCAAATTGTGTAAAAAAATACTATAGTAAAATTATACTACTTTGGTCATATTGTAGTATGAAGAGAAAAAAAAGACAAAATGTAATAAAAAATAATAAAACAAAATTGAAAAAAAAATACATTTTTTTTCCATACTGTCACCAGTCAGTGTCCCTAATCACCACCACACCTGTTATATTATGATGCTGTACCACACAGGTGACAGTATGTAAAAAAAAAAATAAAAAATGAAAATAATTTTAATTTCTTCATTTTCCAAAAAATGACAAAAAAAACTACAACTTCAAAAAATTCACCATGCCTCTTGTGAAATAAGTCGGACTGTCTACTTTGCAAAAATGGGTCATTTGGGGAATATCTGTACTGTTCTGATCTTTTTGGCCCTCAAGAAATTAGATTGGCTGTCAGTACTTCAGGACTGATCAATTTTTAGATATAGTTGTGAACTCTATAGCTTTCCTACAGACTAAATAATAAATACTGATCTGGGTTATTTTCACCAAAGAAATGTAGCAGAATACATCTCGGCCTAAATTTATGAAGAACAATTATTTGCAAACTTTTATAACAGAAACAAAGAAAAATGTGTTTTGTTTTATATCAATCTTTTTGGTCTTTTTTTGTTAATTTAGAAAAAAAATAAAAAACCCCAGTGGTGATTAAATACCACCAAAAGAAAGCTCTAGTTGTGTGAGCAAAATGATAAAAATTTATTTTGAGTACAGTATTGCATGACCGTGCAATTGTCATTCAAAGTGTGAGAGCGCTGAAACCTGAAAATTGGTCTCGACAGGAAGGGGATAAAAGTGCCCGGTATTGAAGTGGTTAAGCAATCTTCTGTCAGACGGAGCTCTGTTATGTCTAATGCAGGGCCATGCATCAGTGTTGATACAGTCAGATTATTTTAGACTATCATAGTATGGGGGAGAAGAGGCTACAGTTTAAGTAGCACAAAGGAGTGGGTAAATAAATCTGCTTTCTCATGTCCCCTAGACAAAAATGAGCAGTTAGCACTTGCTGTTTTGGCACTACTGCACTGCAATGGAAGATTTTTTAATGTTTCCTGGAGTTCAGCTTTAGGAAAAAAAAAAAATGATCACCTTCAGGAAATGTTCAAGAATGGTTATCCTGACCCACTGATTTTCACTGACCGAGAACAACCATGTGGGAAGTTTTGTTAACCTCACAAATTCCAGCTTTGGCAATCTTCCATATAACTAACTGGAAGGTGTAGTGATCAGATGAATGACCCTATTACAAACCAGAAATACTTTTTGCCAGCACACCATTGTCGTCACAGGGAAGCATTTGTTAAATCAGTCAACCTCCAACACCTTGGTCCTGCCTTGGCCCCAAAATATTGGTTTGCAGTGTTACTGACTGGGACTGACCAAATCCTTCTTCTGGTAAACAATGGTGCGCTGGTGAGAAGTATTTGTGTTTTAGGTTAATCAAATTGCAATCAAACAAACCATCAGAACAGAAACTTTCAGAAGAAATGAGGTGCTGGTCACATGAAGCACTCATTTACATAAATTTGGAGATAGACAAGCTTATATTAGTGCTCTTCTTTACAGAATGCTCAGACAGAGCATGAAAACCAAGACCGCTATTGATTAGAGGTAGGGTATAAATAGTGTGTTGAGAAACCTCAATTAATAAGCCAAAATTGAAGAGGTTACAAAAGCACACTGTTCAGCATTTTCTCATCTTAAAATAATAGGACTGGGAGTCACTTAGAAAAATGAGTCCATTACAATACAGTGAAGGAAATAAGTATTTGATCCCCTGCTGATTTTGAATGTTTGTCCACTCACAAAGAAATGATCAGTCTAAAAATTGAATGGTAGGTGTATTGTAACACAGAGACAGAATAACAACAAAAAATTCAAAAGAAATGCATGACTAACAAATGATGCACTGATTTGCATGTTCATGAGGGAAATAAGTATTTGATCCCCTATCATTCAGCAGGATTTCTGGCTACCAGGTGTCTTTCATACAGGTAACAAGCCGAGATTAGAAGCAGTCTCTTAAAGGGAGTGCTGCTAATCCCATTTTGTTACCTGTATAAAAGACACCTGTCCACAGGAGCAATCAAACAATTAGATTCCAAACTCTCCACCATGGCAAAGACCAAAGAGCTGTCCAAGGATGTCAGGGACAAGATTGTAGATCTACACAAGGCTGGATTGCGCTACCAAACTATCGCCAAGCAGCTTGGTGAGAAGGTGACAACAGTTGGTGCAATCATTCGCAAATGGAAGAAACACAAAAAAACTGTTAGTCTCCCTAGGTCTGGTGCATCATGCAAGATTTCACCTTGTGGAGTGCCAATGATCATGAGAACAGTGAGGAATCATCCCAGAACTGCACGTGAGCATCTTGTCAATGATCTCCAGGCAGCTGGGACCACAGTCACCAAGAAAACAATTGGTAACACACTACGCCGACAAGGATTGAAATCTTGCAGTGCCCGCAAGGTCCCTCTGCTCAAGAGAGCACATGTCCAGGCCCGTCTGAAGTTTGCCACGGAACATCTGAATGATGCAGAGGAGGACTGGTTGAAAGTGTTGTGGTCAGATGAGACCAAAATCGAGCTGTTTGACATCAACTCAACTTGCTATGTTTGGAGGAGGAGGAATGCTGCCTATGACCCCAGGAACACCATCCCAACTGTCAAACATGGTGGTGGAAACATTCTGCTTTGGGGGTGTTTTTCTGCTAAAGGGACAGGACAACTGCACCACACCAAAGGAATGATGGACAGGGCAATGTTCCGTCAAATCTTGGGTGAGAACCTTCTTCCCACAGCCAGGGCATTGAAAATGGGTCGTCGATGGGTGTTCCAGCATGACAATGACCCAAAACACACGGCCAAGGCAACAAAGGAGTGACTCAAGAAGAAGCACATTAAAGGTCCTGGAGTGGCCTAGCCAGTCTCCAAACCTTAATTCGATTGAAAATCTGTGGGAGCTGAAAGTTCGAGTTGCCAAACGTCAGTCACCAAACCTTAATGACTTGGAGAGGATCTGCCAAGAGGAGTGGGCCAAAATCCCTCCTGAGATGTGTGCAAACCTGGTGGCCAACTACAGGAAACGTCTGACCTCTGTGATTGCCAACAAGGGATTTGCCACCAAGTACTAAGTCATGTTTTGAGAAGGGGATCAAATACTTATTTCCCTCATGAACATGCAAATCAGTGAATAATTTGTTAGACATGCATTTTCTTTGAATTTTTTGTTGCTATTCTGTCTCTCAGTGTTACAATACACCTACCTTTCGATTTTTTGACTGATTATTTCTTTGTGAGTGGACAAACATTCAAAATTAGCAGGGGATCAAATACTTATTTCCTTCACTGTATAAGAAGCTAACAAGTAGTTAAGCTTTTCCTCAAAGAAGCAAAAGTTGAAAGTCAACTTTTGGCATTTCTGCAATACCACTAAATTGGAATAACACATTTTCTGCAGGCCAGGTTTCAAAAGTAAGGTAGCAGTGTTTTAGTTATTAAATATCAGTTGGTTACATGGATGCACTTACCTGTTTTGGTAACTGTAATAAGTAGCATCACGTGGAATTGTACATAACTGTTTCCCATAGCAGCATAAAGTTTGTGGAGAAAATTCAAGCTGTGAAGGTAATAAAAAAAAAATGTATTTAACCATAAATCACGTTTTTGCATTTAGGTGCTGCTGCTTTCTTATGAGTTAGTCTAAAAAAAAAAAAAAAAAAAACTGAAATGTGTACATCATGGGACACAGGATACATTAAGTTTTATGTTGTTGCCTTTAAGGGATTAAACACTAGCAAAACAAAAATGTAAAGAGAGCTTTATCTGAGTGCATATCTCAGGTATGGAAAACAGGATGACTAAAGTCCGCTTGCCAGTTTTCTATGCTTGGCATGTGCACAGCGATCAGAAGTGGAACAAGAGCTCTCAGATCCACTTCTCTTTTAAACGCAAGACTTTAGGTGCCTCCCTGATGGCTGATGTAAGCCACTGTTGTGGCATTGCTGGACTGTACCCCCGCTGGATGACCTCACAGACAAGAGGTCCAGCATCACCCTAAATTCCAAAATACTAATCTGGTGCCAAGTTTCCTCCAAGAACAAGTCCCCTGGCCATCAGGAGGGAACCTAGGAATCCTCCCAAGCCTGAAAGGCTGCCATTCATTGTGAACACCTTCCAAACTATTTGGAGGAGAGATTATTCCTGATTTCAGCCCTAACCTGTGACCCACAACACTAGAGCAAGAATGGTTCTGCTGGTAAGGCTAAAGACTGCACCCTCTTGTCCCACGCTGCCAGAAGCTTTAACTGCAACGGTCTGGAGGGAAATTGGGCATATGGAACGGCCTCGAATTATAGTTTTGTTACGTGTAAGGAGGCGCTCCCCCCCCCCCCAAAAAAAAATAGAAATAAAATCACCACGCTCCTTTAAATCAATTCAAAGTCAATTCAATATCTTACAACAAACCTTCATGATATTAATTAATAAACTGGATTTTAAATGGACAGAAATAAAAACAGACTAACTTACTTTTCTTCCACAACAGTAGCCCAAACTCTGCATGACTGGGTCAATCTCCTGTTCAAATACTTCAGCCAGTTTTGAGCAGTACTTATAAACACGAGATGTCTTTCGATTATACAGCCAGGCATTGTTGAACATCAGCCAAATGTCCTCCACATACTGCCATGGCTCCTGATACTGTCCTGTATCCAGTTTGCGTTTAATAGTTGACAGATCCATCGGCGTTTTGACTATCTCAAAGTAATCCTGAAATAAAGAGGCAACATCCTGAATCATAATGATGAAGACACAGTCGGTGGGGATAAAACATCGACAATAGCACAGCCATCTATATATCTACATCTCTAGCTATATCTATCTATCTAGTGCATTCATAAAGAATTCAGACCCCCTTAACTTTTTTCAATTTTGTTATGTTGCAGCTTGATACTACAGTTGTTTAAATTCATTATTGTTTTATCATCAAGCTACACTCAGTACCCCATAATGACAAATTGAAAATAGAATTTAAAAAAAATGTTTGCAAATGTATGAAAAAGATAAAACTGAAATATCACATTGGCATAAGTATTCAGACCCTTTGCAACAACACTTGAACTTTAGGTGTCTCCCATTTCTCTTGATGGTTGCAGAGAGGTTTCTACACCTTGTTTTGAGTCAAGTTGTGGCAAATTAAATTGACTGGACATGATTTGAAAAGGCACACACCTCTGTAAAGGGCCTCACAGTTGACAATCCATACTGTATCAGACCAAAAGCCATGAGGTCAAAAGGAACTGCCTTCAGAGCTCAGAGACGGGATTACTGCAAGGCACAATTCTGGGGAAGGCTACCCAAAAAAAAAATATATATATATATATATTTCTGCTGCACTGAAGGTTCCCAAGAGCACGGATGCTTCATTAATTCTCAAACGGAAAAAGTTTGGCACAGCCAGGACTCTTCAATAAGCTGTTCGCCTGGCAAAACAGAGCAATCGGGGGGAGAAGGGCCTTAGTAAGGGAGGTGAACCAAGAACCAGATGGTCACTCTGACTGAGCTCCAGAGATCCTGTGTGGGGATGGCACAAAGTTCCAGGACAACATCACTACAGCCCTTCACCAATCTAGGCTTTATGGCAGAGTGGCTAGATGGAAGCCTGTAGCTAACACATGAAAGCCCGCTTGGAGTTTGAAAAAGAAAAAAAAAAAGCACCTGAAGGACTCTCATCATACCGAGGAACAAGATTCTCTGGTCTGATGAAATCCAGATTGAATTCTTCGGTCTCAGTTCTATGTTATGTCTGGCAGAAACTGGGCACAATACCATTCCGACAGTAAAGCATGGTGGTGGCAGCATCCTACTGTGGGGTGCTTTTCAGCATCAGGGACTGGGAGACTTGTCAGGGTTGAGGAAAAGTAAAATGGAGCAAAGAACAGAGACATCCTCAATAGAAAAATGTTTCACAGCGCTCAGGACCTCAGGCTGGGCTGAAGGTTCAACCTTCCAACATGATGTTCCTTGAACCATACTGAACATATCTGCAGACCTGAAAATGGCTGTCCACCGATGGTCCCCATCCAACCTGATTGAGCTTGAGAGGATTTGCAAAGAAAAATGGCAGAAAATTCCCCAATCCAGGTGTACAAAGCTTGAGTACATGAGATATTTCAGGTTTTTCTTTTTAATTTATTCACAGACAATTCTATAATTTTGTTTTCACTTTCTCATTTTGCTGTACCAAATGTAGATTCATGAGAAAAAAAAATTAGTTTATACAACTGTAGCATCAGGCTGCAACATAACAAAATTGAAAGTGAACACAAATACTTGCACTTTTACTAAAGCCTGGTAAAGTGTAATGACAGACTCCAGGCAAACCTTTAAATACACCTAATACAAAGATGAAATTTGTACAAGAGAACTACATTACCTACCAAAGAATATGTATTTCTGTTCATCCAGTTATGAGATATACACAGCTATATGTATAACCCTGTCCGGCAGGGCATCATTTTTCACTGCACCATTTCACTAACACTTCAGGTCATGTCCCGTCCATAGCCTAAGATTGTAGAGTGAAGGGGAATCAGCACAGCAATCAGCTCATCTCCCTTTCACTCTGCACTCCCCTTCCACCAGCCTGTCTCCATGTTAGCACATAAGCAATGTGGCAAAATGGCATGCTTCTTTGTGCTGCTTCTTCCTCCCCAAGTCTGGGCTCTGCTGTACAGGGACTGCAAGAGAATGTTACCAAGTCATATTCAGGTACTTAATCTGCTTGAATTGCACAATATATACTTTAAGTTGCAAAACTGAATGAGTGGCATTAGGCTCCATGCACACTAGTGTTTTTTTTAAGCTCCTAGAAGCGGTTAGCATTTTTTGAGCTTCTGTGTCTAGGAACAGAAGAAAAAAAAAAATTTTTTTTTTGAGCATTTTTTCAGCACAAAAAAAAAGCTAAATGCTACTAAAACGCTCCTAATAACTTTTTGCTAGCTTTTTTTCCCCTTTCTTCTACATGTACTGTAAAAATGCCAATAAACACCAATGCTCCGAAACGCTTCTAAATGTTACTAAACCAGTACTAAAATGCTACTAAAAAACACGATTACCAGCAGTTTTAGCATAAAGTGTGCATGGAGCCTTACAGTTGTTCTAAAGGCTCAAGGTTTTTTTTTTTTTTTTTTTTTTACCTTCTTGCATTGTATGCATGCAGGTAAAAAAAAAAACCTTCTGTGTGCAGCAGCATCCCCCCCCCCCCCCCCCCACCCACACTTACCTGAGCCCCATCCCAATCCAGCGATGTCCGCGAGAGCCTCGGTTCTCCAGGGACTCTCACTCCTGATTTGCTGAGGCAGCAGCAGGAGCTATTGGTTCCTTCTGCAGTCAATCACAGCCAGCAAAACAATCAGGAGAAGAAGGGGGCAGGGCCAAGCCACGTCTGTGTGTGTGAATGGACACGCAGAGCCGCAACTCGGGAGCCCCCATAGCAAGTTGCTTGATTTCTGGCAGGATCAACAGGCATTTTTCTATACTTTCAACATTTGCAAAGAAACAAAACTGACAATATGCTGCAGATGTACTGTAGAAGTAACTTCAGGCACATATAAGCCACAAATCAATGCATTACTAAAAATGAACTCATCCAAGACAAAATAGGATAATTCCAGTACTTTACAAAGGTCTAGGATATAGATCACATAATAAAAGGTATATATTTTTTTAAAAAAGTATTACTGTACAAAACGAGGCCAAAGCACATCAAATCACATACAGTAGGTAACATCTTCCGCCTACTTTCCTTAACAATGATAATAATATGCTCACTGCTTACCTGCTGCCATATAGCACATATACTGCTACACGGGTGCGCAAAATCATGTATAAATATATATGTGATTTTGCATTTCCGAGTAGGGGGTGCGAGCCATGGCTGCGGATGTCAACCACCGGGTCCCGGCAGGTGATTGCCGACAATCACTGATGGGGAGGAAGACTGATTTATTTACAAACAGTCTTCCTCCCTGTCAGCTTCCCAATCCGTGTGATTACAGTAAAGCACACCACCCCCCCCCCCCCCCCTCCACCCCAGTGAAACACTCCCCACACACACAACACAGTTAACCCTTTGATCGCTCCTCACATAAACCCCTTCCTGCCCAGTGTCATTACTACAGTGTCAGTGCTGTTTTTTAGCACTGATCACTGTATTGGTGTCACTGGGGATGTCAGTGACACCAAGTTACTATAATACAACGAGCAATACAAGTAACTCCATACCATAATGTATTCTCAATAACAAAAGGAATGCCTGTTTACATAAATAACAGTCATGAAGCAATGCTATACATGAAAAGAAGCAAAGAAGGAACCCATAAACAGATTCATCTATATCGCATGTGGGGGGGGCTGTTCTGGTGATCTCTCCCATATCTTATTGTATTTGGCAGGACATCTTCTGTGTATGTATATGACTTTTTTGTATGGTAAGGTGAGATTAATAGCAGCAATCCATTGCTGAATTGTCAGGGGTGACACCCAAAGCCAAACCCTTCCTATCAGCAGTCTGACTATAAAAAATGATTCTTGAAGAAAACCATGCAAATGTTTGTCACTGTCTTGGTTGGGAAGAAGTCCCAGGAGATATTGTTTAGGGCATAGAGTTGGAGAGCCCATATGATCATGTAGAAACAAAACCATCTGAGACCAATAACATTGAATAACCAAGCAGGACCATTTTAAATGAAAGGAAGATCCACTGGGATACCCACCATCTGGGTAATGCAGGGTCGTATCGAGGCCTATACTTGACTAGTTGAACAAGGGTTAGGTAGGTTCTATGTACAATATATAGGTGGGAGAGGTGGCCAGAGAGTTTTTGAGAGATCAGTTTACTAGATTCTAGGATATCCTCCCATTCATCATCCTCCAGCTCCCCACATCTACCACCTATTTCGTTTTTGGTTAGTAAGCTAGGTCAGCAACTGTTGGGTGAAGAAGGGAAGTATAGAAAGTGGATATCAACTTTTTGGGGTCAACCCCTAAACATACATTAAAAGGGAGAGACTCAATGGATGGTAGTGAGCCCCAAACTGGGATTGTAATGCCTGACAGAGCTGGAGATAACAAAATAACATGGAGTTAGGCAGTGAAAATCTGGATTTGAGATCTTGGAATGACTTAACACCACTGGATGTAATCATGTTGGATAGGTATACGACTCCCCTATTAATCCATAACTCATAGCCAAATTGTACAAATTTAAAGATTACTGTATAGTACGAGATTCTGCTGCCTATTTGTACCTATATGATACATGTTCTATATCTCCCACAATTTTATTTGAGGTCTTGGGCAAAGCTTTAGTAAATATAAGCGGTGGCACACTGAAATGGACTGAGAACATGGAACTGATGTAAGGAAAACGCCACTGATGCATTCTTATATGCTATAGATCATCTTCATCCTCATATCCTGAAGAAGAAACACGTAAACACCGAGAAAATGTAGCCTAATTAACAGAGACCCAATACAATGTGATATAATGATTTATTGCTAGGAAATGCAGGTGGAAGATGTTATTTACTGTTTGTGATGTAATGTGTGTTGGCCTTTTTTATATGTATAGCAATACGCTTGTATGTTAACCTTCTTTAATAAAAAAAAAAAAAAAATAATATATGTTTTAATAGACAATATACTTTCTAGACCTTTGTAGAGTTCCAAATAGTCCCATTTTGTCTTGTACGAGATATTTTTCTAGTACGCAGCTGTTTTAATTTAAAAAAAAAAAAATAAAAAAAAATAAGGTCGTTCAAATGTATTTTTGTTTAACGTATACCTAGTTTAAAGTAGAGGTCCAGTCAAATCCTAACAAAACCTGCGCCCTCCCCCATTCTATGTCCTATGCTAACTACCCTGTAGAAGAAAGATGTGTATATTTACCTGTTCCCTGGGCACTCTGGTACAGTCGTGTGATCTCCAGCGCATCTGGCTTCAGTGAAGGGGAAAGATTGCAGACAATGGCTGCAATGCCTAAGAGATGATGTCACCCATAGGCTTACCATGGGGCATCTGTTGTCAGCTGTGCCCCCTCTACCCTGAAGCTGGAGCAGGAAGACAATCACATGACCAGACTGAAGTGCCTCAGAATAGTCAAGTATACACATCTTTGCAGGATAGTGAGTATATGGCTTGGAATGGGGGTGGGAGCAGATTTAAGTTTAGATCAGATTTAACTGGACTTCTACTTTAAGTACTTGAATATGACTTGATTTGAGCCTATCGTAATGACTTGATTTGAGCCTATCGTAATGACAAGTACAGCAACTCTTAGACAGGCAAAGGGAGGGCCAACACGGAAAGTCAATCAGCTGAGATGCCTTAAAATATGATAAGGAACATGCTTAAAAAAAAAGGAGGAAAGAACAGAATGATGAGACGCTGCATCTTCACTGTCCCATCAGCAGTGAATTCCCCAAAGTCCAACTCTGAGAACACAAAGTCCTCCCTTTCAGTGGGGCTGCACCCATACTACGCATACTACCCATACTAGGGTTAACTGTTCATTTTCTATCTAGGTAAAAGCAGATAGCTCTCCCCAATGCTCCGGCAGTGGACTATCCCTTGGCATCTTCAGTATAATGTAGGGCTACAGGCCCAACATCAGTCTTAATGATGTCAGAAGACCATAGACCCCCAGAGCATAGGCAAGAGGTGGCTAGAAGGACTGGTTAGTAAAACGGAGCAGCCTGTGGGAGCAGAGGATCAGGTACGGCCTGGCCTTGAATTTTCCCAGCGTTCTGCTTTGTGATATAGAAAGTTGTGTCCACCTCCTGGAATGCTGTGTGGCACAGCTGGGTAAACCTCAGGACTGAATGGACAAAATGGCAACTTTTAGAAAGTAAACAGACCCCCCATATATGAGGTCTGAAGTATGCCTGGGGATCAGATTTAAATCTCCATATTACTGAGGGCTAGAAAACAAAGGTGTTTTATACAAACTCTGGTTGGATTAAGCGCTTAAATAGAATTCCCTTCCATCAAATCATATGCATTGTAACAATGCTTTGTGGACACAAAGGTGTTTTGATCCAAGATGCAGCCTGAGATCACTTCACACTATTGCGCATGCAACACTTTGCGCTTAAATTAATGACAGATTCAATTTACAAAATAAAAATTACATCTACCTCTTCAACATAAAAAAAAAACAAAGAAAAATACAAGTCACTTACTGGGATTCCTAATATTTGAGGATCTACAGGTTGACGAAATGGAAGAGATTCTGGATCTTGCCGATATAATACCTCTAGTGTAGGCATGAGAGCTTGGCGTAGCTCCTCCGGTTTGAAAACTTATCCCCAAAAGATAAAGATTAATAGAAGTTACAACTACAAAACATATACATGGAAACAATAAGAACACCATTAGCAAGCTTAAAGTGAACTTGTAGACAGACTTTGTTGCTTACCTTGCTGCAGATTACTGTGATAGGCAGCCTCACTAAACAGGTAGCCAACACAAATTTTGCAAATGCACAGCAGAGCACCCTGGAATTAGGGCTCCAAGGGTGCTCAGCAAAAAAATGTTGCCCTATGAAGGCACCATAATATGCTTCTAATACTATGCAAATACTGCTTCAGTGATGTTATGCTGACAAGTCTTCTTAAAACAGATTAAATAAATTAATAGAGCTGTATGGGTTACTTAACTATAAGTACGTGCCCTGCCTATATACAGTGAGGAACAGAAGTATTTGAACACCCTGCGATTTTGCAAGTTCTCCCACTTAGAAATCATGGAGGGGTCTGAAATTCATATTGTAGGTGCATTCCCACTCTTTAAAAAAAAGTTCAGGAAATCACATTGTCTGATTTTTAAAGAATTTATTTGTCTTGCACTGCTGAACATAAGTATTTGAACACCTAAGAAACAGCAAGAATTCTGGCTCTCAAAGACCTGTTACTGTGCCTTTAAAAAGTCCACCTCTACTCCACTCAATCTAACGTAGTAGCACCTGTCTGAGCTCTTTAAAGACACCTGTCCACCCCACAGTCAGTCAGACGCTAACTACTACCATGGGCAAGACCAAAGAGCTGTCAAGACACCAGAGACAAAATTTTGGACCTCCACAAGGCTGGAAAGGGCTACGGGGCAATTGCCAAGCAACTTGGTGAATATAGATCAACTGTTGGAGCAATTGTTAGAAAATGGAGAAGGCTAAAGATGACTGTCAGTCTCCCTCGGACAGGGTGTTCAAATACTTCTGTTCCTCACTGGAGAGAGAGAGAGAGAGAGAGAGAGAGAGAGAGAGAGAGAGAGAGAGAGAGAGAGAGAGAGAGAGAGTGTGTGTGTGTGTGTGTGTGTGTGTGTGTGTGTGTTAGACCAACTCAAAGTGCCACATAATTGTTAAGTGGAAGGAAAATGATAAATGGTTTTAAATTTTTTTTACAACCAAGTATCTGAAAAGTGTGGCGTGCATTTGTATTCAGCCCCCTTTACTCTGATACTCCTAACTAAAATCTAGTGGAGCCAATCGCCTTCAGAAGTCACCTAATTAGTAAATAGACTGCACCTGTGTGTAATTTAATCTCAGTATAAATACAGCTGTTCTGTGAAGACCTCAGAGGTTTGTTAGAGAATATTAGTGAACAAACAGCACCATGAAGGCCAAGCAACACACCATACAGGTCAGGGATAAAGTTGTGGATAAGTTTAAAACAGGGTTTAAAAAGTATGAGTATTAAAAAAAAAAAAAAAAAAACTTTGAATATCTCACGAAGCACTGTTCAATCCATCATCCAAAAATGGAAAGAGTATGGCACAACTGCAAACCTACTAAGACATGGCCGTCCACCTTAATTGACAGGCTGGGCAAATACAGCATTAACCAGAGAAGCAGCCAAGAGGCCCATGGTAACTCTGGAGGAGCTGCAGAGATCCACAGCTCAGGTGGGAGAATCTGTCCACAGAACTATTAAGTTGTGCACTCCACAAATCTGGCCTTCATAGAAGAGTGGCAAGTCATTGTTGAAAGAAAGCCATAAGAAGTCCCGTTTGCAGTTTGTGAGAAGCCATGTGTGGGACACAGCAAACATATGGAAAAAGTTGTTCTGGTCAGATGAGACCAAAAGTGAACTTTTTGTTCTAAAAGCAAAACGCTATGTGTGGCAGAAAATTAACACTGCAAATCACCCTGAACATACCATCCCCACCATGAAACGTGGTGGTGGTGGCATCATGTTTTGGGGATGCTTTTCTTCAGCAGGGACAGGTAAGCTGGTCAGAGTTGATGGGAAGATGGATAGAGCCAAATTCAGGGCAATCTTAGAAAAAAACCTGCAAAAGACTTGACTGGGGCAGAGGTTCACCTTCCAGCAGGACAATGATCCTAAACATACAGCCAGAGCTACAATGGAATGGTTTAGATCAAAGCATATCCAGAGAGGAGTAAAGCCTACTGTTGGCTGGCACCATAGAGCCAGTCCAGGCTCTGCAAAAATGTCAGGATCTGCCCAGAAACCTATCCAGCAGCTGAGTCAGCTTCTGAGAGCCTGAGCCAGCCACTCCTGCCTCCTGCACAGCCCAGTACTCGAGGTGCAGAGCAGAGAGCCGATGACTGACAGTCACCAGCTCTCTGCTCATTGAAGACTAAGTACTGAGGAATGGGTGGACTTGGATTGCTCAGTTCTCAGTGTAGAGCTGGCAGGAGACAGCTGCAGCTGAGATCTGTGCTGCAGCTTTCTTTGAAAGTATGATTTTTTTTTCATTTTTATTTTCAGTTTCCATACTTCTCTTTTAAAGTGTCACCTTTGAATGATTTTGGGCACTTTAGCTTTATGCTGCTTCACGGACTAATGCAATTTTGAAGCATGACATGTTTTTTATCTATTTATTTAAAGCATCCTTATCTTTTATATTTTGCCAAAAGATGGGTAATATATTGTATGAACTAAAATTAACACATATATTTACTGTGAAAATAAGCATTTGACAAACAGCTAATCCACTAGTATCGGATAACACCCAAAAAAAACTGCAACTGCCACCATTTTATTCCACAAGGTGTCTGTCTATAGCGAAAATATTTTGGGGGGATTTAAGTAATCTTCAGGACTAAAATGAGAATTTTAGCATGTGTGTAAAAAATGCAAAAGGATAAAAATAAATCTTGGAAAAAAAGATAATAAAGTGAAATTAAACCCAAAACGTCAAATATCGCAGCTCACCAATCTTTAAATGTGGTGGCTGCATTAGATTTCTTTTAGGCCTTTCCCCCCCTCTGTTTTACCTGGTGATCTGGCCAGTATCACACCTCCTGAACTACAGTGCCCCCACTTTGGATGAAGGCGCACAGGGACACCTTTGGGCAGCAGCACTGTCAGTCTGGAGGCAGTGTTGTATTCACTAACAGATTTAGATACACCAACAGGTTGAAACTGAACTCCAGCTGACACTTTATAAGCAGTTGCAGGTTTTAAATAAAAGCTGACCACCCTATGCACTCGTCACTAGTAAAGGGTTTGTCTCAACCCTCCGCAGGACAGCTTGATCTGTTAAAAATTAAACTTACTGGCAGGACCACCAGATGAAAGTAAAAGCAAAAATAAAAAAAATTAAAAAAAAAAACCCAATGCAGCCATAACGCCTAAGAATTGGCAAGCTGCAATATAATAAATTTGCATATTGTTGCCAATAAGTTTGCTTTTAGGTTTAATACCACTAAGAAAGCTTACCATAACAAAAAAATAAAAATAAAGTAAAAAGCAGAGGCTTACCCTTTACTTTAGACTCCCCTGCAGGGGAAGACTGTGGAGCAGGTCTCTCTGGTTTTTCTTCTTCCTCTTTTACATCTGAAGCAATACTGTTTTTTTCTGTACAATCCATCACTTCGGGCTTGCATTCAACTTCAGCTTTAACCTGTTATATAAAAGGAAGTATTAATTTACAGCACTGCTTTGCTGCCATCAACCTTGTTGGTGGAAAGGGGGAGTGCTGTGGAGAGCAGAGCAGATTGGTTACCCAGAATTCCAATACAGAATTTCAGTTTTTGCCAGTGCACCGGCAGCTTACAAGACAGATTAGCATTCAGGTTTTATTTCATAAACAATTAACACAATTTGAACTGCTTTTGTTTAACCCTTTCGCTATCAGGGCTGTACGGCGGTACCAACCTACAGCACTGCTTCCACCTCGCCAGGTTTAACCGCACCTGACTTTCCTCCTCTGCTATAAACTCGTGGTCACTTCAGTGAGAACTATTCAGCAGATTCTGCTGAACAAAACAATAGCTCTGATTATCAGCTACCAAGCCCTCCTGTCACTGCTTCTTTGCCTCTAACCCACCGTTTTCTCCCCTCCACTTCCACTGCTGCACTGCTCCAAAAATGCCCATCTCCCCTCCCTAACTGTCCCATTTCTCACCCCCTGCACCACATTACACCTTCCGCCAGCACAGGTCCCCTGCGGATCCGATGCAATTGTCAGCTAAACCCCACAAGTAAATACAAAATGCCTACAGCAGCTTAAGGGGGGGTTTGAGGGCAGCAGAAACACAGCTCAAGCATGCATTTTTGTTGCCCCCCTTAAAAGCAAGTGTCCACAAGGCCTGAAGCGTCATTCACGTGGGGCATACTACAGTGATGCCGTGTTTAGCTGCACAGGTGTTCCATGCATCCCCATGCAGGCCATCCCATTGGTGTCAGTTGGGAGGCAGGGATGGAGTGGAATGCACAGGTGTTGTGTGTGGCAAACAAGCTTGCAGAAACTTAAGATAGGCCAAATCCTACAGCACAGGTGGCACTTTTGAATGGAACTAAAAAAAAAAAAAAAACCCCCAAAAAAACATGGAATTGTGGTCCTATTCCTTTTCTACTAGGAGAGTCAGTGACCCAGAACTCTCATGTACAGATGAGTTGTTCCAGCACGTCACTGGCATCATGATTGTTTCTTGGGACAGTAACTCAATCAATATCGCAATGGTAACTGTAACCCTACAAAACAAAACAAATTTCCTTTAAGGCTGTTCTCTGTCCCTCCTGAGCCCCCCCCCCCCCTTCCCCAGCTTTTGTTATAGTTAAAACAAACACCCAGTTTAAAAGTCCTTTTTTTCAGGATCAGCGCAGGTACAGACTGCAGTGTTAAATCACAAGTCTCCACTCCCAGTAAGTACTGTAAGTCTCAGGAAGTACTGGCAAGGGACCTGTGATGATGGTTATTTAATGGCCTAAGACAAGTGCCATGGAAGGAGCAGGATTGGTGAATATGGCCTGGATGTGTAGGCTCTGGAGGAGAGCACTACTGTAAGGCAAATGTACCATAATGTGCAACTACGCTGTGCATAATTACATATTATGGCAAAAGCCCACACCTCATGCAGTGGACTTCAGGACCACCTTTAGGTCTTATTTCAGTCGCCTTTAAAGCGGTTCTAAAAGGCAGAAGGTTTTTTTAAACACATTCTATGCACCCTCTTGAGCCAGCAATGTGCATAGGAGCAGCGATCATTGGCTCCTGCTGTTGTCAATCACAGCCAGTGAGTCAATGGTGTGTGTTTTTGTGGGGGGGGGGGGGCTGCTCTCTGTGTGTGCATGGACAACGTACATTCACAGGAGTGTGGCTCAGGAGCGAGCCTGCTCGACTGCACCATAGAAAGAAGCTTGCTATTGGGGGCACTTGGCAGGGGGAAGGACGACCACTGTAAAACCACTGCACAGAGCGGGTCAGTATAACAATGTTTGTTTTGTTATTTATTCTTTTAGTACAACTTTTAGAATCACTTTAAAGAACTCATCAATACTAGTGTGGGGATGTAACACTCAGGTCTTAATGGGAGCAATGATCGTCACTCAAACAAGCTGTTAAGGTACATGTTCTAGTGTAAGACTATGTTCAAGTTGGCATCAATAAAAGCACAGAGTGTCTACCTTCCATGATCTTACATAAATATATTTGCATTTACTAATGATGGACAATGCAAGTATTGCAATAACTTACCTCTGGCTTCTCCTCAGAAGGTGCTTCTACAGTTTCTGGTTCCACTTCTTCATGTTTAATTTCCATATTAACATCTTGCTGAGGCTGCTCAGGGGCATTCTGTTGTGAACCGTTATCAGGGCTATGAGCTGTTGATGGGCTGGATCCAGAGCATTCCAAAACAGGTGTGGATTCCAAATGCTGTCAGACATAAATACAGTTATTTTGTAGACAAGATAAGAAATGCCTGCCATATTTACTATATGTGCATCCAAGCAAATGTACTTTATGCTTTAGTTAGGGCTGGACAAACCTGTGTTTCCATTTGCTTTAGGAAACTATAAAATCTAGAAGTCATTATGCTCATTTACTTAACTTTTCTTTTTGAATGCCACTCTTTACATGACCATGCTCTCGCAGCTCAATGGATCAGAATTACTCTCATGACAGACAATAAAGTTACATTCGAGGCAGTTAAACCAATTTACTCATGTACACGTTCATCTATTTTATATACATTAAAAAAAAAAAAATAATAATTTTGACTTCCTGTAAATGTGTTATCATGGAGTACAGTACAGGACACAGGCAAAAGTATTCATAGACCCTGGGTTATAGGCTCACAACTTCAGGTAACTGGACAAGGGCAAAGCTTAGAGGACATGCCCCCTGGGTGCCTCCACTGTAACACTACCCAACCCTGTAAGCCCTTAGTTTTGTAGAAGCAATATTCTCTGTACATGCACTGACTTGATGAATTTCATTTGAAAGAAGTTCAAAGTTTAGTTTGCTTTTAACATTCACAGAACAAAAACCACACTGAGAAATTAATTTGTTTCAAAAACATTTTTCATACTGCTCCTTCAAATTTTCTCCTCGCTGCACTTGAAAACAAATGTCAATTTTATCCCACTAATGATTAGAAAATTGTACAAATGTTCTTAAAGCAAATTGTTTTACCATGAGATGGTAGGAAAGATGGCCTGTGTGTCTTGTAATGTACTTCAAGATATGGAATTTACAGGCAAGTCAAAATTCCTCTCACCTTAATCGTACAGCACAGAACACAAGTATTCACAGATCCTGGGATGTCACTAGGCAATTCATTAGAAGGGCAGGCAACAACAAACAGAATTATGCCAACAAGCCCAACAACAACAGGAGTCAACAAAACTAACTTCAGAGACCACTGCAAGAACCTTGCGGCCGAAAAATAAAACTTCAGAAGGCTGGATATCCACCTGGTAGTGCTTTAAAAGAATATGAACAAAGGATCAGGTAGTGGCCTTAATCAGCTGGGACTGTAGGTGTTTCCATGTGTTTAGAGGTAGGGGGAAAAAAACGAGAGGAACATTTGAGCAGAAAAAAATGCACAAAAGGGCATGTTAAACCTAGGTCTGCACGCTAATGCAGTCTAATGACCTGAATAAATGAATATTTATACACTGTGCAGTTTTAAAGCTTTTAAATAAATAAAAGCAATACACACCATGTGGTATATTTTTGTTTGATAACAGTGACAGTGGAGCAGATTGGGTACATACAGAGCCTGGACGCTAAGACAGGAAAAAAAAAGTTTTATATGACCCCTATATATACAGGTCATCCATTTAAGATGAAAGCACATCTACAGTGCCTTAAAAAAGTATTCATACCCCTTGAAATTTTCTAGATTTTTTCATGTTACAACCAAAAAAAACATAAATGTATTTTATTGGGATTTTATGTGATAGAACACCACAAAGTGACACATAATTGTGAAGCGAAAGGAAAATTATAGTTTTCAAACTTTTTTTTACAAATAAATATCTGAAAAGTGTGGGGTGCGTTTGTATTCAGCCCCCTTTACTCTGATGCCCCCAACTAAAATCTAGTGGAACCAATTTCCTTTCAAAATCACCTAATTAGTAAATAGAGTCCCCCCTGTGAGTAATTTAATCTCAGCATAAATACAGCTGTTCTGTGAAGAGGTTCATTAGAGAACATTAGTGAACAAACAGCATCATGAAGGCCAAGGAACACACAACAGACAGGTCAGGGATAAAGTTGTGGAGAAGTTTAAAGCAGGGTTAGGTTATAAAAAAAATAAACCAAACTTTTAACATTTCACAGAACAATGTTCAATCCATCATACAAAAATGGAAAGAGTATAGAACAACTGCAAACCTACCAAGACATGGCCGTCCACCTCAACTGACAGGCCAGGCAAGAAGAACATCAGAGAAGAAGCCAAGAGGCCCATGGTAACTCTGAAGGAGCTGCAGAGATCCAAAGTTCAGGTGGGAGAATCTGTCCACAGGACAACTATAAGTCATGCACGCCACAAATCTGGCCTTTATGGAAGAGTGGCAAGAAGAAAGCCATTGTTGAAAAAAAGCCATAAGAAGTCTCGTTTGCAGTTTGTGAGAAGCCATATGGGGTACACAGTAAACATGTGGAAGAAGGTGCTCTGGCCAGATGAGACCAAAATTGAACTTTCTGGCCTAAAAGCAAAACGTTATGTGTGTGTGTGGCGGAAAACTAACACTGTTCATCACCCTGAACACACCAACCCCACCATGAAACATGGTGGAGTCAGCATCACGCTGTGGGGATGCTATTCTTCAGCAGGGACAGGGAATCTGGTCAGAGTTAATGGGAAGATGGATGAAGCCAAATACAGGACAATCTTAGAAGAAAACCTGTTAGAGTCTGCAAAAGATTTAAGATTGGGGCAGACGTTTACTTTCCAGCAGGACAATGACCCTAAACATACAGCCAGAGCTACAATGGAATGGTTTAGATCAAAGCACATTCATGTGTTAGAATGGCCCAGTCAAAGTCCAGACCTAAATCCAAATGAGAATCTGTGGCAAAACTTTAAAATTGCTGTTCACAGACGCTCTCCATCCAATCTGACAGAGCTTGAGCTA